GTGGATGAGGGTCGAAACACCCAATGAACGATGGGTACCGCCTGATGACATCAACCCCTTGTAGGACCTTGTCCTCGTCTTCCTCTACAAGAGACGCTTTATCAGTCTCTTAATTCAACAATCATCATATTATTTTGATTTTGTTCCACCAGGAGAGTTTTCAAGGCCTCCTCTTTCCCTTTGACCTTTTTGACCCAGGAGGGGAGGTGAGACTGTGGCGCCGACAGTCTCCTGCACAGAGAGCCTGGTTCTTTTCAGATTCTCAGATGGGATCTCTAAGGTGTCAATATGTTTTATCCTCTTTAACAGAACACTGACTTCTCCACAGATCAGAACGACACCCTACACCTAAAGTGGATCGTGTGTGATAACATAAATGCCTTTTTGATTGTAAATCAGGGTTAGATATCCCTGAAATGTGTTTACATCTCTTTTAGTCTGACAGGTCCACCTCCAGAGAGAAACTCCTCTGGAATCCACATCTGGCATTCTGACACCCCTTCCTCTAAAGTGTAAATTACGATGTTTTCTTTTGATAGTGGACATTCCAATCTAGGAAGCAGTAACAGCAGTTGCACAGATATAGATTTAGTTCTGTTGGAGTATTATGGTAAAATTTCATCTCCTCCTAATTAACAGATTGCCATCCAGCATGAGAAGGACGCAAATGTAATGTTTGTCTGATGTTTCTGTCATCAGATTGGACTAAGTTACAAAATCATGTGTAAAATCTCTGAATGTTTGATGGAGCCACAGTGCCACCTTTTGGTAAGGTTCTGGTATAGCGTAAGGTACTTTCAAAACGAACTTTGTTTGATAACTGTATAGTAATACAATAAGTAAATGCCAGACACATATTTGTTATAACAAGGATTAAGCTAGCACTATACGAAATATGTACAGTCCATCAGTGCTGTTTTATGTGCGTGTTTAATGATTAATGATTTAATGACTTTAATCAGTTCCACTTTTCTTTTACATTAAGTAATTTCGGTTATGTTATGTTAAAACATGTGAACTATGTATTAAGTCATGGTGGGTTCTGTGAACGGTGAATTATGATCTCGAAACTTTAAAACACGATAGGAGTAAGTTGATAAAGTTACGTATATCAAATTATCACCAGAGGAAGTGACGCGCGCGGTCAGCTCCTCTCGTCCAGTTCCGCCTCAAGAATAAAAGCTATAAGAGATAGACTCCGGTCACTCTTCACTCTTCTCTTCTCTCTCGCTTTTCTTCTCTCTCTTGTATCAACTCGTTATTTATTCTCGCTTTTTCTTTAATTTCCGTACTTTATTTTACTTCGTTTGCGACACGTGTTAATTTTTCCTCAAGTAATAACTTGCTGTGCTGAAGTACTTTTCAAGTACTTTTATTTTGAAAGCTCAAGACACAAACGAATTTCTTCTTTTATATTTTTGTAGTCTTATCGTCAAGTATTGTCGCCTTTTCACAGAAAGTGAATTTAATCAAATTCTTGGACTTTCTTGGAGAATTCGCCAGGCCAGCGTTTCATCCTCCAGTTATTTTTAAACAAGAAGCTGAATGAGTTTACAATCAAAGCTGAAGACCAACCACTCTAAGACATTCATCATCAGCCAGAAGGACGTCGCAGTAGTTGACTGCTCAAGAAGACGTATAAACGTTTCCAGCCGAATACAGACATTATTCTCCAGCCACCGTGCCCCCAACGCTCACTAGTGCACACGCCGCGCTGGGCCTTTTGGAGAGATTGCCACTGGTACCAGGGACGAGACGCAACTTCCCTCAGCCTGTTGGATCAGTGATGCAAAGCCGCAGTTGAGCTGAAAGCCAAGGACCTGGAATCCTTCCAGTTCCATCTACAAACAAAGTAGGCTGACTCTCCGGTACACGGCCGGATTCACACACATGAAAAAGAGCTGGTGTCTGTCTGTAAGCTTTGATTCCCATCTTTTAAGTTTAAGAGAATTTTGGATTAGGGCCTCTCAGTTCTAAAATTTACTCTCGTAATATTTTAAAGTTACTGCCGCATCGCTCCTGAATCACCTAATAGTAATAATTCATATATTGTCCACATATTCTGTTACTTGTTGTCATTTGTTTGTTTATCATTTCATGCTATTTACTCTGCATTAGTTTAGTTAATAAACATATATAACCGTATGTCCTTGTTGGTGCAGGTTTGATTTGATGCGGGGAAATCGATGAATCGTGTAAAAGAAATCACTACTTCAGAAATATGAGATTAAATATAGATTTTGAAACTTAATAAATTGATTTAAAATTGATTTGATTAGATCGGCGGAATAATTTCCTCCGGATTATTCCAGTAGCTAAACAAGGAGGTGGTGCCCCATTTACGAGTGTATTATTAATCACTAGTGATTAAATACTAATAATAATGAAAAAGTAGTGTATCCCCTACACCCTCCTGGTCAAGGCTACATTCACTTAAGGTGAATGAAGATGAGAAGCATCTTCGGATGTATTTGTAATTTATTATTGGATCTTAGTGCTGCATTTGACACCATTGACCATAATATTCTTTTACAGAGACTTGAGCATCAAATTGGCATTAAAGGAACCGCACTAAGCTGGTTAAAGTCATACTTATCAGATCATTCGCAGTTTGTCCACCTTAACGATGAATCTTCAATAAATACTACAGTTAGTCATGGAGTTCCACAAGGTTCTGTACTTGGACCAACACTATTTACTTTATATATGCTCCCTTTAGGCAACATTATTAGGAATCACTCCATTAACTTTCACTGTTATGCAGATGATACGCAGTTATATCTATCGATCAAGCCAAATGAAATTAATCAATTATCTAAATTACAAACATGTCTTAAGGACATAAAATCCTGGATGAGCTGCAATTTTCTGATGTTAAACTCAGAAAAAATAGAAATTCTTGTACTTGGCCCCAAAAACCTTAGACTCACTGTCTAAAGATATAGTTACTCTAGATGGCATTACCTTGGCCTCTAGCACCACTGTTAGGAATCTTGGAGTTATCTTTGATCAGGATTTGTCATTTAATTCCCACATAAAGCAAACCTCTAGGATTGCCTTCTTTCATTTACGTAATATTACAAAAATTAGACACATCCTATCACAGACAGATGCAGAAAAACGAATCCATGCATTTGTTACTTCTAGGCTGGATTACTGCAACTCTTTATTATCAGGTTGCCCCAATAAGTCCATTAAAACGCTCCAATTAATTCAAAACGCTGCAGCACGAGTACTGACAGGAACTAGAAAAAGAGATCACATCTCTCCTGTACTAGCTTCTCTGCACTGGCTCCCTGTAAAATTTAGAATATAATTTAAAATCCTCCTCCTCACCTATAAAGCTCTTCATGGTCAGGCCCCTTCATATCTTAAAGAGCTCATAGCACCGTATTACCCCACTAGAACACTACGTTCTCTGAATGCTGGGCTACTTGTGGTTCCTATAGTCTCTAAAAGTAGAACAGGAGCCAGAGCCTTCAGTTACCAAGCTCCTCTCCTGTGGAACCAGCTTCTAGTTGTGGTTCAGGAGGCAGACACCCTCACCACATTCAAGACTAGGCTTAAGACATTCCTCTTTGATAAAGCTTATAGTTAAGGGTTGGCTCAGGTGAGTCCTGAACCATCCCTTAGTTATGCTGCTATAGGCCTAGACTACCGGGGGATTTCCCATGGTGCACCGAGCTCCTCTCTTCCTCTCTCTTTCTGCACTCATTCATGTCCCACTAATGCATGTTACTAACTTCACTTCTTCCCCGGAGTTCTTGTGCTTTTTCGTCTCGCAGGATCTCATGGATCCTGGTGGAGCCTCCTGCCATGGTCCTGCTTGACTGCCATTGCTAATATCACTGATATTAGTGTTATTATTATTATTATTATAAGTATTTTATAGCTACGGTTACTGTTGTTGCTGTTGTCACTGCTCATTGTCCCCAATCGTTGCTGATGTCATGTTTATCATCATCAGTCACTACTATTAGTGTAGTTGTTGCTACTGTTGTTGCTGTGCACCTGTCTGTCTGTCTGTCTGTCTGTCTGTGTCTCTCTCTCGCTCTCTCTCTCTCTCTCTCTCTCTCTCTCTCTCTCTCTCACCCAAACTGGTCGAGACAGATGACCACCCACCTAGAGCCGAAGGATCTGTCCTAGGTTTCTGCCTTTTAACAGGCAGTTTTTCCTTGCCCCCGTCGCCAAGTGCTTGCTCATGGTGGTACTGTTGGGTCTCTGTAAATAATGTTATAAGGAGTTCGGTCTAGACCTGCTCTATCTGAAAAGTGTCCTGAGATAACTTCTGTTATGAATTGGCGCTATACAAATAAAATTGAATTGAATTGAAATATTGGGTAAAGTCTGTCAGGGTCTTTGAGATTTTGCCATAGTTAAAATCTCCATTTAAGTGATGAATGCGCTGGGATGACGTGTCTGCAGGTCTGCAACGGTGGAGTGGATGACGTCACAGGCGTGCACCGCTACTGCCGATGGAGGAATGTAAACAATGACGACAATAGTCTCCGTAAACTCACAGGGCAGATAGTATGGCCTTAATCCTATGGCCAGCAGTTCAATATCAGGTGTGCAGATTTCTGCCTTCTTGACAACATGTCCAGGGTTACACCATTTAGAGTTCACAAAGACAGCGGGCCCTCCTCCAGACTTTTTACCACTCTGTTTCTTCCTGTCTGCCCGAACTAGTGAAAAACCGGCCAGTTCCACTGAACAGTCTGGTGTAATGTCATTCAGCCATGTCTCCGTCAGACATAATATGCTGCACTCCCGATACTCTCGCTGTCAGTTGACCAGGGCCGAGAGCTCGTCCATCTTGTTGTTCAGTGAGTGTATGTTTCCTGTGACAACCGACGGAAGACATGGCTTGTATCTCAACCGCCTCTCTATCTTCTTGGTCCTCACCAACATGCCTGCTCTGGTTCCTCTTATTATGTAAAAAATAAGAGGTGGAGCGGGAGCTGTTGCGTCGAGCTGCCACTCTTTGCGTCGCTTCTAGAATGCAATGTTGTTTCGCACTGAGCGGGAAGACAACAAAAGCAGCCAAGAAGAAGGTTTCCAACCCAAAGAAGGCCGGCCCCAGCGTCAGCGAGCTCATCCTGAAAACTGAGGCAGCATCCAAGGAGCGGAGCGGTGTGTCTGCGGCAGCCCTCAAGAAGGCTCTGGCTGCCGGAGGCTACAATGTGGAGAAGAACAAGGCCCGTGTCAAGACAGCCATCAAGGGCCTGGTGGCCAAAGGGACTCTGGTCCAGACCAAGGGGACCGGGGCCTCCGGATCTTTCAAGATGAGCAAGAAGGCAGCCGAGCCCGCAGCCAAGAAGCCCGCAGCAGCAGCAGCAGCAGCAGCAGGAGCCAAGAAAGGCAAAGCAGCAGCGGCCAAAAAACCCAAAGCAGCGGCCGCCAAGAAGCCCGCAGCCGCTAAGAAGTCCCCGAAGAAGGCCAAGAAACCCGCGGCAGCGGCAGCCAAGAAAGCCGTGGCCAAGAGCCCCAAGAAGGCCACCAAGAGCCCCAAGAAGGTGGTGAAGAAAGCTCCTGCAGCCAAGAAAGCCCCCGCAAAGAAGGCTGCAAAGCCCAAAGCCAAGAAGGCAGCACCCAAGAAGAAGTGAGCTGTCAGCAGTCTGAATGTGTCCGACTAAAGGCTCTTTTAAGAGCCACCAACACTCACCTTAAAGAGCAAGGTCCTGGTTATTATTGTTACTGTTGTTGTTATTATCTCCAGATGTTAGGAGGTTTTCTATTATTGTTACAATGTAACCTGATCTGAGGCTGTCTGTCAACACTGGTTAAGACATATAAAGGTAAAATGTATCATAATGTATTATAGAAAACAAATATCTGAGGAGAGCCAGTCAGCTAATTTATATTTTTCACTCTTTTATATTTGAGGATTTTTTTGTATAGTGATTGTATGAAACATAAAATATTAGAACATGAAGGAGAAAACAACTTTACTCACTTTACTAAGAGTGAGACAAACTAACCTGAATACAGAAATCTTCACATTGGATTTACAGTAATAATAATTTATTGTTCTGTGTAACCTAAAACTCATAATTAATCAGTGTTACGGTTATACGAGAACAATAATAACATTTTAGTTTTTATAACAGTGACATGATAATCAAACTGACCCTGGAACATAATGAGCATATTGAACATATAACATGTCTTTATGTCTAATACATCTTTAGGCCGTTAACATTGAATAATATTATATATATATATATATATATATATATATATATATATTATAATAGCCTATATTGTGGTTTTTGATGTTTACTTTAGTTCCAACCTGTCAAATCTTTAGATTTAACACATCTGATGTTTAACTTTGTTACATTGAAACAGATCTTCTGTTATTGTTACAATATAACCTGAGCTGGATATTTCTGGTTCTATTATATTGTTATACAGGTCATCTGTCAACACTGGATAGTAAAGACTAATGTCAGAACAAGTTAATAAATGACAATATAGAGAGATTAATAATGTGAGTCAATTAAATAAGCTTTGTTTTTATATTTGAGGATTTGTTGTATATTGATTGTAAGAAATAATGTCAGAATATCTTCACAAAAGTCTAATAAAATAAATAAACTACTTAATTAATGAATGTAATCAGAGCCATTAGAAATGTTGCTGTTTGAGGAGAGTTTGTGGCTCTTAAAAGAGCCTTTTTGTGTGTTTTCCAGCGCCCCCAGGAAGCAGCTGGCTACCAAGGCTGCCCGTAAGAGCGCCCCGGCCACCGGCGGCGTGAAGAAGCCTGGAGAGGCCTGGTACCGTGGCTCTGAGAGAGATCCGTCGGTACCAGAAATCCGCAAGCTGCCCTTCCAGCGCCTGGTCCGAGAAATCGCTCAGGACTTCAAGACCGACCTGCGCTTCCAGAGCTCCGCTGTCATGGCTCTGCAGGAGGCCAGTGAGGCTTACCTGGTCGGCCTGTTTGAGGACACCAACCTGTGCGCCATCCACGCCAAGAGGGTCACCATCATGCCCAAAGACATCCAGCTGGCCCGTCATATCCGCGGAGAGAGAGCTTAAACTGTCTGCTGCTGCTCCACAAAACACAACGGCTCTTTTAAGAGCCACCTCACTGCAGACTAAAGACCCTCTTCCTCTCATCACACTCTATTATTTTATATAGTAGGCTATTACTATGAACTTATTTACTGTAATCAAATCATAATATTTAAATATGCTCTCTCTGTTATACATAGATTTAGAGTTTTGTTTTGGTCCATTTTCCCAGTTTATTGTTTCAGTTTCTTCCCTCAATTGAACTCTGTTGGTCTAATCTCACTACAGGGTCCATTCAGTCTCTTCTGGAGTTGTCTTGTTGTCATGACAACTACTGAATTTACCTTGTGGTGACCCTGACTTTGTCAACTTTCAATCTTAATAAATGTATTAAAGTAGTGTAGCAATTAACTCAAAGTTTAATTAAGAACAACTAATGGCATCATATTTAGTTTAGTTTAAACAGGAATGAAGTTAACCCTGCTGTATATTTATGTGTACATGGGTGTACAGGTGCAGCCCAGTTAACTCCAGCTGCCCTGCTATATACACACACAACATGCCTCCATCTCCATAATCACAAATCAAACACACCCTTCTAATCCGGCGGTCTATTTAAACTATAACATTTCCCTGCTCTCCCTCTGCTCTGTGGATGGCGCTGCTGACTGCACCAGGTTGGGGCCTAGACGTCAAACTCTTACTATGTTTCACCATTGACAGTATATAGCCTATGTAAATTCCAGCAGGGGGAGCTCCACTGGCTGCAGTAACACAGCAGTCCCATTCACTTTAATGGAGAATGAGCCGACTTGATACTTCCTTTTATGAGCTCAGTAAACGGTTTCCTGATGAGTTTATGGTCTTCTTCCAGACATTATGATGTTCATTTAGTAAATTATGGTCTAATTTAGAGTAAAATAAGACGATAAAGCTGCGTCTACTTTTGGGCAGGGCTACCTTTTGATTGAAAAGGTCACTCTCAGTGAATCTATCCAGCCACAAAACTCAGATCAAACTGTCGAAGTAGGCAGTGCCGATCAGAAATGAAGCTAGATTATGTTACTGCATTGAATATGTCTCAATTAAAATCGTTTCAGAAACATATTTTACTGTCAATTTTAGGGACAAGTCAAAACTGCGCAGCCAATGAGTGCAGATCAACTCGCAGTACGTCACGTCCGCTGGCTCGTGCCGGCTCCATTTTACTGTCATGGCGACGGCCAAAACACAGAACTCAAGGCTTCAAAACGGTTCTGCACAAACCCACTGGTGACTTCACGATGTATTTGTGTACATCCATGTTGAATTATTTTCAGAGAGGTGAGTTAAGTGTCACATCCGAAATATATTTTGCAGCAGTGCTCTGACTATAAATGGAAATCACCTCCTTACATGTACAACAAAAGCTTTTTATCTCATCAGCCCTCAGTTTCCTGTCACAAGAAGTGTGTGTCAGGCACCTCAGGACCAAACTGAACTCTCAGAACAGCTCGACATCATGGATCAATTAGATATCTATGTTAACGTATAGAGGAAAACTGGACCTGCACTCTCAGGTAGTGAACACATGCAAACAGATACACATTTGTATATACAAGATCACTACACTCATTTCAGTATTTGATCTTTACTGCTGGTTTATACAAATGAATGTGCAATAATCTTCTTTAAATATCCACATACACAAACATACAATAGACTGTATTAAAAAACAACAACTAATAAACAAAGACTTAAATAACTTTACTAATATATATTTATATCTATATATATATATATATATAAACTGTTAAATGTTAATAAAAACCCTCACGTCTAAGGTCGCTGCAGTAGTAGTAGTCACTTACAAGTGTGTCTTGAAAATTGCATTAGTTCCTCGTCATGTCAATAGAAGATGTAATTCAGTCAGCTTTATCCCTCAAAATGTGTTTGCTGTTGTAAATTAGTTGTATATAAATGTAATTTCTAGGAGGCAGAGCTGTGTTAGAACAACTGTAATCTCTCTCTTTTTTTTATTTCAAACTGAAATCTGTAACCTAATTCACTAAAAGAGTTTGGATCAGGCTGACTGACCAAGATGAGGAAGGTGGACGGGACAACTCTGACCACAAGGTTTATACGAATAAGAAAGAAAAGAACCACTAAAAGCAATAAAAGGGGAAAGAAACATGTTATTTTTGAATTATTATATTATTGGTATCCTCCACAGCCTGACAACAACTGGGGAACAAAGAAGATTGTGCTGAGCTCTACGTACATAACCATGACTCTTTATTAAAATGGGATTATATAGAAATTACTGCGTCTGGGTCTCCGGTGATATTAAGCCATTTAATCCAGTCACAACATATCACAGAGAGTTGAAACTTAAGGTGAGAGAACTCTTCCCTGCCGTCATTGTGTAGGTAAAAGGGAACTATAAAGCTGCTCATAACATCTTGACAAATACTCTACATGCAATCAATGTGTGCAAACCATAAATGAGGACTAAATTACATTACAATGATCTGTATTATTGATTACTAACTGATCATTCTATTTCTATTAATTGATCTAGTATGTTGGCTATCAATAACAAAATTCACACCAACAGCTATGGGAGATCATTGCTGTCTTCTATTTTCCAGGGGATCTGCTTGTTTTATTTTTACACTTTCTTTTTTAAATGTGAACTTCTTAGTTCTGCTGAATACAAAAGTACATTTATTAATTCACATGTACATACACATATTATGTTCTGATATTATGACAGATACATGGATCCTTCTCACACAACCAGCGCAGCTTGTGTTCACAGGGGGCGTCGTTCCAGTTGGCCAGCACTGGGTCGCGGTGAAACATCTCCACACAGCCCTCTTTGTTGTTGGGACCACCGCGGTCTGGCTGGCCGGACTTCCAAAATCTAAATGACAGTACAGTGATGGAGGCCAGAAAGAAGCAGTTCAAATATTTATGTTGGATTACTGGACTGACAGCAGTTTGTACAACAGTATGACACCAATAAACCAGGTTATATAACAGTATGGTCATTTTGGTTGAGTCATGTCATCTTTACAAATCCCCTCTGTAATAACCAAGACCCAACCCAAATTTGGCCAAGTCCAAATCCAGTCTAATGTGGCTAGGTAAGGTCCTGTTGTATGTCAGTGTGTCACCTTTTTCTCAAACACTACAGAAAGTGCAAACTGTAAACTGCAGGGGAAATGAGATGTATTGCTTCTCCTTTCAGCTCCATCATGCTTCTGCCGGAGGCGGTGTTATCTCTCTAATTGGATTTTATTAAGGTTAATCACATTTTGAATTGGGTCTAATTATCCTCAGGTTTATTCACACTGGGTCTGACTGTTCTTTCATTCCTGTTATGACAGATTTACTAAGCTTTAAAAATAAAATTAAGCAAATCAAACCAGTAAGTAAAGTAAATACAGTACCCATTGTTGTATATATTACCTTTATGCATTTACTGAGTCATAATTAAATAAAAAACATACACTGATCAGCCATAACATTATGAGCACTGACAGGGGAAGTGAATAACACTGATTATCTGACCATCGCCCCTGTCAGTGGGTGGGATATATCAGGCAGCAAGTGAACATTTTGTCCTCAAGTTGATGTGTTAGAAGCAAGAAAAATTAGCAGTGTGAGGATTTGAGCGACTTTGACAAGGGCCACATTGTGATGGTTAGACGACTGGGTCAGAGCATCTCCAAACCTGCAGCTCTTGTGGGGCGTTCTCAGTCTGCAGTCGTCAGTATCTATCAAAAGTGGACCAAGGAAGGAAAAGTGGTGAACCGGAGAAAGGATCATGGGTGGTCAAGGCTTATTGATGTACTTGCGGAGTGAAGGCTTGCCTGTGTGGTCTGATCCAACAGACGAGCTACTGTAGCTCAAACTGCTGTAAAGTTCATGCTGGTTCTGATAGAAAGGTGTCAGAACACACAGTGCATCACAGTCTGTTGTTTATGGGGCTGATCGGTGTATGTTAAAGTGATAATTATTCAGTTTAAATAAAATAATATCAGTGCTGTTTTTGATTTTGTTTTTTAAATGATAAAATAGCAGAGGAAATGCACTTCTGATGGGAACAGCCAGGCTACTCCTAACGTGAGAACTGACACTTAGACTTCACTATTTTGATTTAGAAGTATTTTAAATAATCCATGAACTATAAGACCATTTAAAAAAAAGATCTCTAGCGCCTAATATATTTCTGTGATAATGGCCTCACGGTTCAGTCAGCGCAGATCCATCCACCCATTTGAAGGTCTCAGCTGTCTCAGTGTCATACAGACCAATCCAGACCACGAGGTCATTAGATCCATCCAGATGGTACAAGGCCATCTGTTAATTAAAATAATAGAGAATGTCAGACTTCAATATCAAGAATGGCAAACACACATTATCACAGGCACAGATGGACTGTACTACCTGTTCCTGTTTGCTGTTGATGACCACCAGGTCAGCACCTTTACTCTGACAGTGTTGTCTGCTCTCCTCCCATGTTTTTTTCTCACTGGAGAGGAAGTAACATCTTGAGTTGATCTTTATCCAACCTGCAGGACACTGTTGAGAGGACTCACTCAGCCCTGAAGGACCAAGTAAACAAATTACTTATGATACAACTCCAACTCTGACAATGAATTTAACTTAAAGACGATGAATATATATATTTTATTGTGTATCTGTGACTATAAACGATAATTGTGAATATTTCCTACAAAACAACTATAACTATAAAACTAAAACTGTACAGTCATCAGTTAACCACTGACTGTGGTCCTAGTATCAGAAAAGACAATTACTGTCCCTGATATGCAGCTAATGTCAAAACATTTAAAGCTTTTATATTTACTTTTTTTAAGAGTTGATGCTTTTGAACTTTTTTAGCAGCGACAAGAGTTTCTTTTTAGTTACAAGCAAAATGCCAAAACATGCCCAGTGTTATGAATGATTACCCTAAAAGAGTGCCGTTCTTTGAACAAGCTCATGTTTTTGGTGAACGAAATGTATCCATTTGCAACTCACATCACTGTGAGTTTCAGTAACTCACGAGAGTTAACGATGTTTTGCACTGTTGATATATGTAGTATATATATATGAAGTACTAAAAAAGCAGAAAGGAGTACACATCATGAAGAAAGGTAGAGCTAAACAATACCAGACCTGTGTGTGGACCTAGTGCCATCTAGCGGTAAGATGAGCAGCAGATTGCAACCAACTGAACACCACTCACATCTGTATTTGACAACCTGGGAAAGGCCTTATCTACAGATAGTGTTTGGTTGGTCCCTTCTGGGCTAATATATAATGATTTAACATGGCGTCTGAATATTATATTCCACAATCTGAATCAGAATTGGGTTTATTGCCTATTAAGTAGGTTTTCACACAAAAAAGAGAAAGACAGAGATAATATATATACAAATATAAAACGAAAGACCATATGTACAATATGATTGTTATTTAAATAAATGAATGAATAGCTGTACAGGAATGTCCATAATATTGTCCAGGGAATCTGCAAGTTCTGCAGGTTTGCAGTGTGACACGTAATGATATATGTGCAAAGATAAATAGCAAGGGATGTCCATTAATGTATGTTTGGGGCTTTTTTTGTTTTGCAGTGAAATTGCGGAAAAAAGTGAAAATTGCAACAACAACAAAAAATTATAAGCAGTGTTGGTTAAGTTACTTTTTTTTTTTTACATATTAGTCATTACCCTTTAAAAAGTACTTTACTTATTACTCCCTACCAACAGTAATTAGTTATACTACTAGTCATATTACTTTTCTGCTTCCCCACAAATAGGTAATTGTGTCCCTTCTACCCAAAATTCAGACTAACTTAACTTAAAATCCAGTTTTGTTTGTTTGAATCAAAGTAATGGAATGATTCCAGTGGCTGAATGTAAGTAAGTAAAGCTTTATTTATATAGCACTTTTTTTAAACACAGAGTTACAAAGTGCTTTACAAACAACAAAAATAAATAACACACAAATATACATATGGGTCTATATATATGCATATATACATTTGGGACTTTGAGCTTAGTTTAAAACGATTTAATTTGAAGTGAACTGAACTCTGAGCTAGCTCTTGTGAAGTGTGAACATTGGCAGTGGAAAAATGTACCCGGATTTAGATATTACCTAAAGTGAAGGTCATTAGATTTTTTCTCACCCATCAGACTCATCTTAAGCCAGTTTCGCTCCTCCTCCACCTTCTTTATCATGTTGATGAGTTCAGTGTTTCGGTTTTCAAGCCGGTTTTTGTCTCTGGTCAAGGCGTTGAATCTTTCTTGTAAGCTGTTGCAGTGATCAGGTTTCCTTTGCTCACAATCCTGCACCACCGTCACCTGGTTTCGGTCACTTAAATGAGTTGAGTTGCAGTCCAAGTGGGTTGGTTCCTTGCTTGAGTACACTGAAAATATAGAAACAAAGAGTTAAATAGAAATTTTTCTTTTTTATTTATTTAAATCCAAAATATTTTTTCAGGTTTTGTTTGACATAAAGATGATAAAAAGTTTGACAACAACGTCAAATTACTCAAAGTGCAAATTTTAGTTACACAATGCCAAGAAAACATACTCACAAGTAAGGCGCAGAGAAACATTGAGAGTGGCTTGTATGATACACAGCATGCCAAAGCAGAGGAAGAGCACCTGATAGAGTCTTCTCCCTGCAAAATTAACACATACATACAATACTTTTAGTAAAGAATCTGAATCACCTCATTTTGAGGTAAAACTAATATGTGCCAATGACGTCCAGAAAGATCCCTCTTATACAGCAAATACGCTTCGCTTTCACATGAGAAAAGGTTTTCAGGAAGAGGACAACACTGAGTTTAGCGAGACAGAGACATTAATGCTAACCTTAAATCTGATACAGCTTTTAACATTTGAGACCAGTGTTACACTGGTTTCCATGCAGTGGATGTGTCTGATGTGACCTGTAACCCCACATAATATAATTGTAATAATGGCAATGCAGCGGACTGGGGAAGTGGAAATGTGTCAGAAGAGAGAGGCAGAATGAACAGAACAGGACTGATTGGTAAAACTGTGTGAAATTGGTTAACAACCAAAATGAACAATGTTGTTATTATTTACCATATTTCACCTTTTTTAAGACTGAGTCCTGATCCGATATAGTTGCACAGTCCACACTTCAAGTACAATAAAGTAATTTCTCCTTGCATTTATATTTCTGATACATTTGGCCTACCTGTTTGATTTTCATCCCCCCTGCGTCTCTGGTCATGTCTTGGCTGCTCATTAACATAATCCAATATTTCAAGTTCCTGCATCCCCTGGGTTGTCTTAATATTTGGTGAGAAGGTCTGTAGTCTGACCAGTAAAGTGTGTGTTCCCTCTTTTGGTGCAAGAGCGAACTAACACACACTTACTCTGTGGTTAACACATTTAGAAGAAGTATAAGAAAAAAACACAATGTGGAAGTGTAACGTGACTCACTAAAATCTGTTTCACACGAATTACTGAATTAATATCTTTGTCAGTTCTTGTTGTGTAATGGAATATTATTCAAAACCTTTAATTTAAATTTAATTTTACCATTGTAGTGATACTCTAATACATAATAAATCTAATACTCATAATGCATTCATGTTCCAGTCCCGGGTTAAGATTAAAATGGTTTTATTATGTGACACAGATTTAAAGTATAACTATTACTCCTCAGTCCTCTTCTGTTATCTTTCACACTGGGCCACCGTAGAGGGCACTTTATCATGTTTTATCTACCACACGGGAAACAAAGAGTACACTTTCGCAACAGCTTTTTTCGAACATGTGGGTACACTTTCACAATTGTGCATCAACAAAACTATGATCCATATCTGAACAGACACAGGCACAAAACAGGAAACTGGACAAAAAGCAGAGACAAGATGCATTGATTAAAACTAAAACTCTGTCAGTGCACAAAGACAGAAACATAAGTACACTTTTTTACATCAGATTTATACAGCATGTACATACACATAGGTCTGTAGTGCTCTCCACTCCCACCGTCTGACAAAAAATAGATGCAAACATGTTCTTAATTAACTGTTTTTGTATCAATCATTTTGTCTCCTCCACTAATTCTGTTCACAAAGTACAATTTCATTGATAGTGTTGCATCAGAGAGAATATGACAACAAAACTACAGAGGAATAAAATGTGTATATAAATACATTAGAGATTGGCATTTTACAGATTACTATATCAGGCCAGTCAGTGTAAGGCAGCAGGAAGAGGACCCAAATGCAAAAATGAAGGCAGAAGGGGTCACAAAATGGGTATCAAGTCCAAACAGAAGTAACTGAAAGTCTGTGTTTAACCAGGAAAAGGCTAGCAGATAAAGGTTCCAGGTGTCAGGTTTCAGGTTTCAGTGTTGAGGTTACATTGCCCATGTTACAGAGACTGATGAGAGAAAGTACATAGTAACACAATAATCAAACAGGTGCTTGCTGAGCTGGATAAGACTGGAGAAGGCCCCTCCCATCAAATATTCTGGACTTGTGAACAAGCACTTTATAGATCTCCAACTCCTTTGGACTCTTTTTAAATGTTTTCTGATGCACTTTGATACTTGATGAACTTTATTGTTAAACTATTTTGTAATATTTTAATGTCAAATTTCAATAAAGTTTATTTACGAAAAGGTGGTGAGAGTCACGTTACTGGGACAAGTAGAGGAGTGAGGCAGCCATTATGATACACTGTAAAGAAAATGTCTGGTGAAACTGTGTGAAATTGGCTAACAACCTAAATTAACAATGTTGTTATTATTTACCATATTTTACCTTTTTTTAATTTCTATTTTATCATATAACACTCCAGAGAACTGTGTGTGTCTGAAGATGAGGTCTGCATGTTCTATTTAGTGTTTTATAGATGTCAGTATAAGTGTAGGAAATTGCTTAAGCATGAATATCCAACATGTCCTGAAACTATCCTGCACAATTGACCAAACTGACTTCATGTTAAACTGTTGTTGTTGTTCCTGTACCCACAGTGAATATACTATTTATGTCTAGACTGATAGATTGTTCTCATGGTTTCACATGCTTTAAATTCATTATGATTTAATTTCATTTAACACTGTGGCAGCCGGATGTCTAACTCAGAAAAATATATATATATATATATATATATATATATATATATATATATATTTATAATTTGTGACCATTGCAGGAGACAGACATAGGGAAGGAACAGTAGTGGTTCAAGAGGTAAAAATAATCATTGTGACATACGTACTTCTGCTTTTTCTCACAGATTAGGTCATAGCTTTGCAATGTTGGAGTTTTGGATCTATTTCGAGTTCTACCAGTGAAGACCTTTTGTGTTTCAACATAGTTCCTCCCTGTTTTCACATTTCACATTATTTCCCTTTTATTTTGATGATCTAAATGTCCCATATGTCACATCTATATGTGAGAAAGGTGAGAATTCAGTTCATCTGAAAGAAAACTGTATAAAAATGTGCTTCTTTCAAATGGGAAAGAGTAAGAGAATATTTGACACTACAGTGAGGATTAAACTCTTATCATCATTTAAGAAATACACCGACTAATGAACCTATTATGTCAAACAGAGGGAATCGGAGGCCTCTAAGTGTGAAGATCTTTGACTTTGCAGGGAATCAAGAATCTGCACGAGTTGAAACTGGAGCAGCGGCCAATGGCTTTAATGTGGAGAAGTTGTTGAAGTAAAGGAAAAATGAGGAAGAGTATACATGTGATGCTTTGTTAGCTAAGAGATAAATATAAAAAAGGAAGTGGATTACACATCAGTGCCATTCTCCATCGCTAATGTCCCTCTCCAGTCAGTGAAATATGGTGAGGTTTGTCCATAAAGAGCAACCTGAGATCACGATGGACTATGTAAATATGCCTGAGGAGTCAGCCAGAAGGGATGCCCTCAAGAGATGTTCTGGTGAGGATGGTGGAGTCACTGCTGCAGCGCCTGGTGAGACAACACCACAGTTTAACAAAAATAATAGTTAATTGTGTTGAAAACCTAAGGAAGAATCTATTTCTCAGTGTTCATGTGATGTTAGTTTATTCAGTCATTTTGCACTGTTGGTCAATGTACATGCTTTGTTCTTGTTTTACTTTCATTTATATTATGAAAAGTAAATGGTTTTTTGTACTGATTTAGAGATTGTGGTCAAGATTTGTGTGGTTGTAAAAGATATATGCCAGGTCACTGGCTCACATACAGCCCTCCCAAAAGGCCAACACATTGTCCATATAACTCAGTAAACCTGGGCACTTATTTTGTTTGCATGCGTGTCTAATTTCTACACTTAGGAAAAAAACTGTACCGACTGGTTGCTGTGAGCTTTGGACTCTTGTGTGTCCTACAAGCTGCTCTCAACATTTCCCTGCGTCTCGCTCTCTGTGAGTCATTTTAAACTGTGTCTCTACTTTTGTGTTTCCACAGAATCTCTGTTATTGTAAGAGCAGAAAATGGATCTGGTTACCACCACAGTTGAATAATAACAAGATATGACCATTGCTTTCTCTGTGGGTGTTCTAGGAAGGCTATGTGTGTATATCACTTGATCAACAACAACGCCTCATTATAATTCTGTGTTTGTTCTCTCAGGCTCTCACAGTTTTTATCCATTCAGTTACACTGCTGTTTCTCAAACCTGTTTATTATTATGTCTGTATATAATATACCTTTCTTTTTATGTTTGTTTGTTTATCAGTAGGATTTAGGGAAAACTAATGGCACGATTGTCATGAATCTTGGTGGAAGGGTGTAGCACGGGCCAAGGAAGAACCTGTTCAATTTTGTAGCAGATCTGAATAACAGGGCAGACACACAAACTATTTTTCACTGTAAACATTGCGAGATTGAATTTGTGTGGACCCATCATTCAGGGCGGCTGTGGCTCAGAGGCAGAGCGGGTCATTCCCTAATCGGAAGGTTGTGGGTTCGATCCCCAGCTCCTGGTGCCACATGTCGAAGTATCCTTGAGCAAGATACTGAACCATGCATCGGTGTGTGAATGTGTATGAATGTTAGTTTCTGTTCATCACTGAGTGAATGTGTGTGAAAGGGTGAATGTGGCACGTAGTGTAAAAGTGCTTTGAGTGGTCGGAAGACTAGAAAGGCGCTATACAAGTACAGGTCCATTTACCATCATTATTGAAGTGAACAGTGTGCAACAAAACATGCAACAGGTCTGCGCTCTCTGAGTCTAGTTGCTTAAGAATTTGTGGGCAGCTGACGTTCCTAAAGAAACTGAAGTTTGAGGAAGTTTTGAAACGCTCGTAAGGCATAATAACAGTACTAGAAAGCTAACATATTAAGTAAGAAGAGGATGGGACTGACCAGTTCAGTCAGGACCACTTTTGTCAAAAGAAAACTTTATTTCCAATTGCAGTAAGTTATATCTGGTGGTGTGGGTCTGTTCTGGGACCTCCCTGCCCTTTCACATGCATAAATGGAAAGCATAAGGCAAGGAGAGCAGCAAAGACAGCACAGAACAGGCATCAGTGACAACAGAAATGACACTGATTAAATCAAAATACAGCGTAAAAGGAGGAGCTAGGGTGAAGGTGGCTAAAGCGCCTTAAATAAGGCACTGTGTAGATATTTGCCTATTGGATTCTTGAAGGGAATCAACTGAGCCATCAGCTGATGTAGCTGAGATTATGAGCGCATACAGATTTGCTTCTTTTGTTTGTTCCCCAATCTCCTCCTGTCCACTTGCCACTGTCAAAGTGTCCTTTACTGAAGATACTGAACTGACACATGAATTGCCAATAAAATGTTTCTGCTCTTTCAGACAGCCCTTACAAGACAAGAGATATAGAGGTCTGCAAAAACCTGATTGAAGAGAGTGACAAGCTTAAGGAGAAACTGATTAACTTTAGTAAGTAAGAGATTGAAACTCATTCCCAAACCAATAATGAGAGCTTGCATCCAAAAGGACATTTCAGTGCAATTTAGGGCAAAACTGGGTATTATACTGAGTACATCAGATGAAAACCCACAATGAATCTTGTCAAAGCCAAACGGACTCACATGATAGTCCACTGCTGCAAATAATACAGTTATTGTGGGGTTTTGTTTTTGGGCAAACACTGTATGATTTTATTAAACTTGTATTGTGTTTACTCACACTAAATAACAAACCAAAACAAAAATCTGGATCAGAAATACTTTAAAATAAAAGAAGAGTAATCCAACCCTCAGAGTGGGTTGGAGGTCTATTGGCCAAGTGTTTGTTTGTTCTGGTTGTGTAGAAAGTCTGATTGAAATCATTTTCAGTCTGTAAATAACCACTAAATAGAGCTATTTTTATCTGAAGTGACATACACTCTGGCTAGTGGTTTTTTTGAGGTACATCAGTACAATAATGTAATCCAATACAACAGCCCTGGTGTGTATCTACAATTAATTTATTCATTAATCATTTTAAAGAGAGGCATAAGAATATGGAGTTATTCCATTTACAGATTTTTTTAATCTATTTTTACTTGGAGCTAATTAATTTATAATTGCTTTTTTAAATTGGTGATATTAGTCAAATAATGTTAAATAAGTAAATAAATAATTGTTCTGGTGGCAAACTCCAGGCCCTGTTTGATTGTCTATATTGCTAATGTCTGAGATATTAAGGCAGTCTTTGCTGTCATTCATAACAGATTACCTTTTCCAACAAGGGTGGGTCTATTTCCATCCCAGTTTCTATTACATTTCTTCTACCAAGAAATCCTGGAACGACAGCAGAGAAGACTGTCTGCAAAGAGGTGCAGACCTGATGGTAATCAACAGCAAAGAAGAACAGGTGTGTGTATTAATCATTAACGGTATGATCAAAAATGGATATAGTCTTTGTGGCACTTCCATGTTGGCTTCATTTGCTGCTTGGTATTAATGCGTGAATGAGTTTGAGATTAAGAGACACTAAAGAAAGATGTGAAGTAAATGGAAAAATATGGTGAGAAATGACATAAAGTTGAAAAATAAGTAAACTAATCTATATTCTATTATAACCTGTTTTAAATATCAGTAACAGAAACTTACTCACTCATTCACATTCACACATCAATGACGCAGCATTGGGAGCAATTTGGGATTCAGTGTCTTGCTCAAGGATACATGAACCAGGAATCAAACCAACAACCTTCCGTGTGTGGACGACCCGCTCTACCTCTGAGCCACAGAGGTGTAATCAACCATTTCTATTGATTGCTGATTACAGTTTTTCTCTGTAAACAAGGACTTCACAAGAAAATTCAACAAGTTCATGTGGATTGGACTGACAGACAGAGAAACCAAAGGGATGTGGATATGGGTGGATGGCACTCCGCTGGACAAAAGGTTAGTCTTTTATTCAGATTACATTGATGCTGAAACAAAAAGCCTTAAAGGTTATATATGTATGAGATTTAAAAGATAAATATAGCAGTAGGGGTGTAACGGTATATGTATTCGTCCCGAACCGTAACGGTGCACGCAGTCATATGACGAATACGTCTGAGTGACTTTTAAAAAAAAGTGGAGTCCTCACTTTAATCCAGTTGCCTAAAATCATTACAGAAGAAGAAGAAGTAGTTACAAAAAAGGACGAAGAAGAAAAGTTATGGAAAGTGTGGAGTTGGAGGAGCAGCCTGCGTCATTTAAATCAGCTGTTTGGGAGCATTTTGGCTTCCCAGTACAATATAATGGTGATGGCATGCGAGTGGTGGTATGTTGCTGGCAACACCTCAAACATGCTAACCCACATAAGACAGCATCACCCCGACATATCTGTCACAACAACTTATCCCCGCTGCTTTTAAGCCACTTCTTGACATTAACACTGACAGGGCCAAAAACATCACAGAAGCAATTGGCATATACATATCAACATCTATGCGCCCATATGCCGTTCTTATAATGATGTTACCAAAGTTGAATGAGAATGAGAACCCTCTTAATACATTTGTTTTATGTTTTATTAGGGACCATGCCAGCGACCGCTAAATTACTTTTTCGTGTTCCTCCTACACGCTTTGTCCGATTCGCACGAAATTTTTCACGTAGTACCTGGAGACCGCCATGACAAAAAAAGTATTTTTAAGGATTGTGATATTTCAAAAAATAAGCAACGCATGTTATAAAATTAGCACTTCCTGTTCCTGTTTCGTCAAAAAAGGAAGTGGACCATTTCTCCACATTGGTATGTCCGATTGACACCAACCTTGGTTCCATCATTACTTATGTCTTCCTTAGGCATCGTGCGCAATTTCTGGCCATCGCCACAAGGTGGCACTCTTTAAAATGAAGAAGTTTATATCTCTGCATTGGCATGTGTGATTGAAATGAAGCCTTGTACCATGCTTGCCCATGGCTCCCTGAGGCTCGCTAAAAAATGTGTCAACAATCCACCACTAGGTGGCGGTCTGGTGGCATGGTAAATCACTGTGCGGAGACCGTAATAGTTATGAGTATGAAATTCACAGGGCACGTGTAGAGTGGTGCCTGAAGCTCACATACCAAAAATTGTGTTTGTCGTGTTTGTAGTGCCCCCCACAGGATTTTAAAAAAGCAGCCCTGGCGCCACGTTTCACCGATATATATGAAACTCGGTAGGCACGTGAAACATGCTGAGACGTACAAAAAAGCCTCTTGGACCCATACCCCAAACCCCACGGGAAGTCAGCCATTTTGATTTTCATTTTCACTTTCAGCAAACTTTTTGCGTTGTATTTGAACAAATTCCTACTGGGGAATTCATTGCATCTGCTTGAAAAAAAATGGTGCTGATTAAAAGTTGTGCTATTTGTGCACGTACGTTGAAGGGCGTATCCGTGGCATGCCGTCAAATTTGGCCGGGTTGAATCGAATGTCAAACTGTGATGCCATTTCACAATTTAAGGGCTTCTGTTTTAACTAACTCCTCCTACAGATTTTATCAGATTGACTTCAAATTCGAACACTGCAATCTAAACACATTGGTGATCAAAAGTTGTGCTATTTGTGACTGTATGTTTAACCGCGTGCCTGTGACGACATGTCGAATTCCGCCGATTGGCCATTAAACAGACTATTCATACCTTCAGTGTACAGTCCCACCCTGAACACGTCCTCACAACTTCAGTGTACATGGCCCAGTCTCAATGAAACACGTTTGATCACAGTCCCGCACTGAACACGTCTATATGACAATATTCAGATATAGTGATAGCGCCACCTACTGGCAACAGGAAGTAAGCCCTGCATAGTGACACGGCCACAGGACGCCCCGAGTTGCGTGGAGTGTGAGGGCCCGTTCATCACTGCTTGCAGCTTTAATTTTGTTTCTGTCCCATTTGAGGTGTGTTTTACGATTATCTGCTCAGTAAAATGATTGGTTATGGAGTCTTGTCAGCCACAGTACCCATTGTGGGTTCTTTATTAGAAGGTCCAGTGTGTAACCCTTAGGACGATCTATTGGCAGAAATGGAAATATTTATAGGTATGTTTAAATTAGTGTATTCACCTGAACATAGTAATCGTTGTGTTTTTGTTACATCAGATTAGGACGTTTTTATCTACAGACGCCATGGGTCACCTTCTATGGGCTCCACCTTGTTTCTACAGTAGCCCAGAATGGACAAACAAAACACTGGCTGTAGAAATGGCCTTTCACATTTTTTCCGAGTTACGCAGCCCGTGTAGTTTCTCCAACACACTTCACAGCCTGTTCTCATTCCCAGGTTGTCAAATACAGACGCCAGTGGTGTGCAGTTAGTTGCAATCTGCAAGAATAAGATGTCACCAAATCCTACACACTGGTCCTTTAAAGATAATTTGTTTTTTGGTTTCAGCTATTGGACCCCTGGGGAGCCCAATGCTTATGAAGACAAAAATGAGGACTGTGTAGAATTAAAGTCCCATGATATTGAGAACAGCTGGAATGATATACCATGTGAAGACGAAAACTTCTGGATCTGTGAAAAATGATTTTTCGATGATGTTCACAAATTCCCATTTCACATACAGTACAGTATTTCATAATCCTATGACTCTGTAACCTGTGACCAAGCTGTGCCTCTGTCTCTATGAGTAATATATAGCCATTGGACTAGATACAGTATATGTCTATTAATAATAGATCGTTTATAGTAGACTACAACTCAGAGTGACATTTCTTGACTGGATGCTTTATATTCAGCTTTCTGGGGAGTTGTTGTCCACAATGCTCTGAATCCCACCTGCTCAGGCAATGTAAGAAAATGAATGAAGAAGTATGCCTTTCTGAAAACTAATTCATTTAATAAAGTTTTTACTTCGCACATATAATAAAAAAAAATTTTGTTGTGTGAGTGAGTTGATTGCTTGGTATAATGTAATAAGGGTAGAAAGGTGAAAAACTAATAAAATCTAACCACAGATCAATCAATGCCAGGAGACTTGCCCTATAGATGTGGGTGCAATAACCACTGATCAGCCATAACATCATGACCACCTGCCTAATATTGTGAAGGTCCCCCTTTAGCTGCCAAAACAGCCCTGACTGGTTGAGTCATGGACTCCACTAAACCTCTGAAGGTGTGCTGTGATATCTGCTAACAACACGTTAGCAGATCCTTTAAGTCCTGTAAATTGTGCGGTTGGGTCTCCATGGATTGGACTTGTTTGTCCAGCACATCCCACAGATGCTCGATTGGATTGAGATCTGGGGAATTTCGGAACATCTGCCAAAGCATCACACTGCCTCCGCTGGCTTGCCTCTTACCATAGTGCATCCTGGTGCCATGTGTCCCCCAGGTAAGCGACACGTATGCACCCGGCCATCAACAAGATGCCAAAGAAAACGTCATTCATCAGACCAGACCACCTTCTTCCATCTCTCCGTGGTCCAGATCTAATGCTCACATGCTCCTTGTAGGTGCTTTCAGCAGTGGACAGGGGTCAGCATGGGCACCCTGACTGGTCTGTGGCTACGCAGCCCTCATACCAACAGACTGTGACACTCTTTATGTTCTGACACCTTTCTTTCAGAACCAGCATTAACTTTTGGACTTGAGCCTTTTGACTTGAAAATGATACCTTCCCCCAAGAGTGTGTTATTTGAAACGTGTGCCATTAATCAATTAATTTCCTAAAACAATTAACGTTAACAATGTCCATTCCCAGCAAGTCCACACTTATTCCCCAAATCCACTTTGTTTGAACCAATCAAGTTGCAGGAAAGAAGAACAAACTTTACGTTAAAAATAATCTAGTTTCATTCCCTCTGTTGTTAAGATGGCTTTAGATTTGGTTTAGAGCACATTATGACTTGTTTAGGACTTTGGACTTGCCTAGGGACTTGCAAACCAATGACTTGGTCCCACCTCTACATATTGCTTCATAATAGCTAGGAGCTGAACTGCATGAGGGCAGTGGAGTTACAAGAGATTCAAACGAGGGGCAAGAAGCAATGAAAAGAGTTGAAATAGCATTTACAGTTAAAAAGTGATTTTCTATTCTGAACAGTGAATTAGACCCTGCATTCACACCATTAAAATATAATAAATAAAGAGAAACTGAAATTCATCCAGTTATGTTTTATTCTCAGACAGCCAACCAGTCAGCAGAGGGAAGAGGAGGAGGACAGTCACTTCCAACAGCACACGCCATCTTTAAACAGAAACAGGGGTGATCTGATTTCCCACCCAAACTAACTGTTATCATGTGACCACAATCTCATACCTAAATAAGATGTAACAACTAAATCCTCATCTGCTGACGAAGGCAAGATGTGCAAGAGGTGGTTAAAAGCTTCAGAAACAAGTTGGACCTTGCACTGAGGTTTATGGTTCAAAAACAACGGCAGCTGTGGTCTTGTATTTCAGACAGGTGATGAAGAGTTGTCAGAAACCCCCAGTTCAACTTTTAAGTACATCATATATTTTTTCACCATTTACTGTTATAACCTAAGATGTTGAAACATTTAGCAACATTTTTATATCATATTGCAATAATGCAGTTTATTGCTTTTACTGTTTGTAGATATCATACAACTTATTATTGGTAATGAAATATTCAAGCTGTGTACATTTAGTCTCTGAGTCATTGTTTGTCTTGTTTCCAAAAAGAACATCTTCACACCATCTCAAGTTAAAGGCACACTATGCAAGATTTTTACCTTAATATAACAGCTTCGAAGTCATTTCGATGGTAAACAAACTCATAGTATAGCGAATCATCCCAATAGCAAAGCAGGAGAGGGACGCCGCTGGCAGAACCAGCAATGCAAGTCTGAAATCTCGCGAGAATCACAAATTGCTTTACGGCATTCACTCAGACATTACCTGGTCAGTAGACATCTTCGGAGTCTGTCTTTACCCACCTAGAGCCGGAGGATCTGTCCTAGGTTTCTGCCTTTTAACAGGCAGTTTTTCCTTGCCCTTGTCGCCAAGTGCTTGCTCATGGTGGTACTGTTGGGTCTCTGTAATTAATGTTAAGGAGTTCGGTCTAGACCTGCTCTATTTGAAAAGTGTCCTGAGATAACTTCTGTTATGAATTGGCCCTATACAAATAAAATTGAATTGAATTGAATTGAATTGAATTGAATTGAATTTACCTGTTCGATGTCCGATCTTCCATCCTACTGAACATGTGTGTTTTCAGTGTGTTTTTAGCCTGTGTTTTTTGCTATTTTTAACTATTTTCTTACTTTCTTACTACTTTGTTCACGTAGCCTAAACACTTTTTTGGCGTTTTTGAGCACTTTTTATTTTTTATTTGCACGGGTCTCCATGGCGACGGGTAGTCGCATTGTTTACACCCGTGACCAGAAGATCGCCCTGAGGCACCCTAGCATCCTGACTGGAGAGAGACCCTCCATACCGGAGGAGCTGAGGAGGAGACGGCAAGGCTGCAGAGCAGGGTTAAACGGAGGATGAAGAAGAGGAGGTTTAAACTCTACATCCCTGCAGTCATCACTGGAAACAAACGTGGTGACAAGACTTTGGACTTGCTGTATGCAAATGTTCCTGTTTTTTATATCTGTATTTATTTCACTCAAATGTTGCTGTGACAAGTGAATTTCCCCATTGTGGGATTAATAAAGTTATCTATCTATCTATCTATCTATCTATCTATCTATCTATCTATCTATCTATCTATCTATCTATCTATCTATCTATCTATCAATGTACCGGTATACAGGGGGGAGGGGTTCAGGCCGTTAGTGCAGAGACGCAGAGCCGTATATAGAGACGGCTCTGGTGAGTGGTATTTAAGACAGTTAACGTTAAATACAAGTACTCCGCAGCGACTCTAGGGGTAGCTGACAAAACCAGAAAACTGCATAGTATGCCTTTAAAATAATGATGACACCAGTGACCTTTACTTGATATTTTCATCTTACTGCAGTGACAAACTGTTTGTTTGTAGTCAGATCTCTTCCCTTGTCATATAGAGTCATGTAGCTCCTGTTGTAGAGGCAAATATATTCTCTGAATCACCTTAAATACTCTTAAAGCCATTTTTATGTTGTTGGCGGTTTGTTTCGTTTCTAACAATACCAATGGACTTTGAGTCTTATTCAATATCCATCCAGGGTTTATCACCATAAACAAATCTATTATAATTAATTTTCTTCTATTCTATTTTATATATTGTGTTGTATTCATTCATGTATTTTAACTTTTGTGCTGTTTTATATATCTTGGATTCCCATTTTTTTTACTGGTGTGATTTTATTTTCATACGTTTTGTACGAGCATTGTTGGAGGGAGTCTAAGAATAAAGAATTGTAATTATTAATTATTGTACATATAACAAATAAAGAACTTAAAGTAAATATTAGACTTTCATCAAATCTGCTTCAATGTGATAAAATGGATTAGTCAGACTACATGAGATTAAGGGCTGTCAGCAGTTTATTACAATAGTGTGGAAACATGTAACCAGTAGAAGTCAGAGCAACAACAATTATTAAGTCATGTGAATGAGTTCTGTGAGAAATAATAACAAGCTTTATGATACCATGTGCATTTAATTCCACTTTTCAAATAGAGCAGGTCTAGACCAAACTCTTTATAACATTATTTACAGAGACCCAACAGTACCACCATGAGCAAGCACTTGGCGACAAGGGCAAGGAAAAACTGTCTGTTAAAAGGCAGAAACCTAGGACAGATCCTTCGGCTCTAGGTGGGTGGTCGTCTGTCTTGACCAGTTGGGGTGAGAGAGAGAGAGAGAGAGAGAGAGACAGAGAGAGACAGACAGACAGACAGACAGGTGCACAGTAACAACAGTATTGGCAATGGCAATCTAGCAGGACCTTGGGAGGAGGCTCACCAGGATCGATAAGAACCTGCGAGACGAGAAAGCACAAGAACTCCGGGGAAGAAGTGAAGTTAGTAACATGCATTAATGGAACATGAATGAGTGCAGAAAGAGCTCCTGCAGGTGTGGACAGTCTGCCACTGTGGGGACTGGCCTCCTTGGAGCTCTTGGAGCTGCCCCTCCACACCATGGAGGCCCTGGACCGTGCGGAGGAGACACTGCAAAATGGAACAAACCGCCAAACAATGGTAGTTGTTTAATAGTTACATCATTCTTCTGTCAGAAAACTTCACTGATATGCACGCTTTCCTTAAACTGCCTGACAGTTATGACAGTTATGACAGTAGACACATGAGGTAATTTGTACTGAACCTTAGTCTCAGTCATTCCACATCCACATTAGGATGCCAAAAGCCTCAGTCAGCATTTCACACTTCAATATCTCCTAAAAACTGTTGTTGTTTCAGTACGACTTTATCAATCGCAGTTATATTCAGACTGAAAAAAATTATAATTCTGCACAGTCTATGAATATGTTGGCATGATCAAATGTGATTCCAGTCTGCGTGTGTTAACCCTGCAAATTTGTTATACTTTGCCAGACTGCCCGTCTCGCCATTATTGGAGGGACTACCCTAGAGGTGAGGGTCCGCCAGATGATGGCACACTTGTTAACTAATGAACTGGCTTCCGGACTGAACTGGCCCGGAAAGAAGCAAAGGGAGCAGGCCGAACAGAAACAGCCCTTTAAAGAGTTGGCACTCTGCCGATCTATGTTTGGCAAGTCCTGCTATATTTTCAATCACCATTATATGATCAATTCTAGGCTGCGTGCCGGAGGCCCTTAAAGGCCGTGTTGCAGGTTAACCACCATTGTCGATTAATGGGTACATAAAGCACTCAAGATATGTACAGGGGGGGTCCAGAGAATTTTCTGGTGGGGGGCACAGGGGGTAACAAGAATTAATCTGGGTTGGCAGCACAAAAGTAACAAAAATGAAAGCTGCCACTGATCGCCCTCTTCACTTCAATTCATATTGTTACACACTGTATGTTTTCATCTTGCTTTTCTTGGCCACATTAAATCTGCTGGGTGTACTCTTACCAAGTGGTAACACACAGAACACTAGCATGGTTGCTGTACAGAGTTAGCAAGAAGTTAGTGAACATAGCAGTGTTCTGTATAGTAATCAGTTTTAAGCACCACTTAAATTCTTACAATGTAACAACAATAACCTTTAATAATAAAATTAATAAAATAAAATAAAAATGTAAAATATACTTAAAAAATTAAAAATCTCAGTGTTCTGTGTATTTATCAGTTTTGATAAGACTAAGCACAATTATCACAATGAAATTTAGAACAGTAACAGAACTTTAAGGCAAATTTTTTGCATTGTGCTTGTATTTTCTGTTTTAGATGCTCTTACACAGCAGATGGGGACAGCCGCCGTCACCAAATTCACTTTTGCCCAGGCTGTGCAAAAGTGGCTGCGCTATACGCCAGACCGGGCAGGAGGGACTGGACGACAAACAGACGTCGGACCATGAAGTGTAACTAGGACAAATAATGAATGAATGAAATAGCAATGAAAAGAGTGTAATAAAATTAATTTGTTTTGACCTTAAACAGTGTGGTGTGGTCAGTGTTTTAGGCTAGGCTATAGGCATACAAGCTTTCAAATGTTCCATCACTTTTTAACATCCTGGCTGTCGATAAAGCAGGATATTCATTATAGGCTATTTAATTTAGGGCATTACGTTTTCGTATGCCTAGCAATCATTTTCTATGCTTAATAATGATTGAAATTCCATTTATCTATGGACAGGATTTCAACGTTGTTTCAATATTAAAAAAGGGTGCAAAATGATGTAGAATCAACATCAGAGTTTGATGTTGATTAAATTATTTAATGTTAACTGAATGTTTATTTAACATATTTCAATGACTGTGGAAGATAGAAATATTACTATAAATCTACAGTTGCATTAACTTTCAGATAATTTATGACCAAAACTACTCCTTAATGTTAATCTTTCATTGCTGTCTGTTAATTTATCACTAGGATTAAAGTATAGAGGTCATGATGTTATAAGCCTTTCATCTTCTTTAAACACAGAGGGGTCTGCTGAGTGTCATTTACAAGTGTACTGTTTATGATATTCATCATAAACAATTGGATCCTTTTTGTAGTATATTTAATTGTGCCAGTGTAATCAGAGCCATTAGAAACGTTGCTGTTTGAGGAGAGTTTGTGGCTCTTAAAAGAGCCTTTATGTGTGTTTTCCAGCGGGCAGCAGGTTCACTTGGACTTGGCGGGCTTCTCGGTCTTCTTGGGCAGCAGAACAGCCTGGATGTTGGGCAGCACGCCGCCCTGAGCGATGGTCACTCCGCCCAGGAGCTTGTTGAGCTCCTCGTCGTTGCGGACAGCCAGCTGCAGGTGACGGGGGATGATCCGGGTCTTCTTGTTGTCGCGGGCAGCGTTTCCAGCCAACTCCAGGATCTCAGCGGTCAGGTACTCCAGCACAGCCGCCAGGTAGACGGGGGCGCCGGCACCCACACGCTCCGCATAGTTGCCTTTGCGCAGCAGCCTGTGAACACGGCCGACCGGGAACTGGAGCCCGGCCCGGGAGGAGCGGGTCTTTGCCTTAGCTCGGGCTTTTCCGCCGGTTTTGCCTCGTCCGCTCATTTTCGATGCTTTTACAGTCGACGCTCAAAACAAAGTGTGACTCCGACACATAAAACCCTCCTTTATATGTCCGCGGAGCGTGCGGGGGGCTTCCCGAGAGACCAACCAGAAAACAGGCTGCCGTCGGAGGGCGGCCGCTCCGGGTTTTGGCGGACATTTTGAACGCCTTTCTCCGCCAATGAGCGGCCGAGGTTGGGGCGGGGGGCCGCTCCTCCGGGCGGCGCTGAGCTCCAAGAGGAGCCCCTAACCAATCCGGAGCCGGAGCTGTGGAGCAGCGTCACCGTCTGACAGCCGGTCCCACAGTTTAAGAGCAGCGGGTCTCCTCTCTTTACTACACTTTGGTCCCGTTCACAGGAACAACAACAACCACAAGAAGAAACGATGGCGAGAACCAAGCAGACCGCTCGTAAATCCACCGGAGGCAAAGCCCCCAGGAAGCAGCTGGCTACCAAGGCTGCCCGTAAGAGCGCCCCGGCCACCGGCGGCGTGAAGAAGCCTCACCGTTACAGGCCCGGTACCGTGGCTCTGAGAGAGATCCGTCGGTACCAGAAATCCACCGAGCTGCTGATCCGCAAGCTGCCCTTCCAGCGCCTGGTCCGAGAAATCGCTCAGGACTTCAAGACCGACCTGCGCTTCCAGAGCTCCGCTGTCATGGCTCTGCAGGAGGCCAGTGAGGCTTACCTGGTCGGCCTGTTTGAGGACACCAACCTGTGCGCCATCCACGCCAAGAGGGTCACCATCATGCCCAAAGACATCCAGCTGGCCCGTCGTATCCGCGGAGAGAGAGCTTAAACTGTCTGCTGCTGCTCCACAAAACACAACGGCTCTTTTAAGAGCCACCTCACTGCAGACTAAAGACCCTCTTCCTCTCATCACACTCTATTATTTTATATAGTATTGATTATATTTGCTACTTTGAGTAAGTACTTTTAAATACCTTATATTAATCAGATTTAATAGGTGGAAATGTAGCTTTTTAAGGCTGTTCATGATTGTCCACCCTAGTTTACCCTGAAGGACAACTTAATTATTTTACATTGAATAATAAGAATCTAATCTAATTCAGATATTTGCATATAATTAACATATCACCTGCTTTACAGATTAGAAATTATAGTTACGGTAGTACTGAAGGTTAATCATTCATGTAATACTTATATGCGTTTGGTTTAAAATAAAGTTGGCAATACTAGGAGGGATTCAGTTGCAGTAACTATTCTATATATTAAAGCTGTATTCTGTATGGTGGGTTTCCATTCTTCTTTCTGATGGAAGCAAACTGATGATAGAAAAGGAATTGGCCTATACAATCCTAAACGGTTGAATGAGTTAATGGTTAACTGTGTCTCTATGACAGATTTGTGGTCGTTATAAATTAAATCTGAGTCACATAGTTAAACTATTTAAACCAGGGTTTGGAACTGTTTCACCATACACTACCACTTCATGTTTAATATGTTGTGGACGGTCAGGTACTTGTAGTCCTCCACCCCATTAACATCCAGATAACTTCTTCCAGCACAATTCATCAGAAGAGCAGTACTCTGTACTTGTCCTCCTGTCCATCACTTTGTACAACCAACCTCTGCAGAGCAGTCTGAAAACCTCTGCATGTGGCCTGACCTGGATTTGTATTGAAAGTGTGGTGGGGACAGCAAAGTCCCCTGTGGAGCTCCTGTACAACTTTTAGACGATCAGGTAACCTGTAATCCAGAAGGTGCTGGATGTTTCAACCCTAACTGTCTGCAGACCCTCACTCAGTTACAGTAACCTGATGAGGCTGTAGACAAACTGCACAGGGGGGGCAGCAATGATTTCACCTGCAGACTGAAGTGGACCAGCAGCCTCCAGCACCTTCATCACATAAGATAGATAGATAAGATAATCATCACTTTAGACTGTTTCCTATTTACTTTCATTTAATTAATTAAACTATGTAATGTTTCTTCTAATGTACCTTGGAACTGGTTGCACTTTATAATTGTACTTTTCTCACATTGAATTTAAATAAAGTTTTTATTCGGGTAATGCCAAACCCGAGGCTTTAAAACAGACGTCCATGAGCCAGTGAGGATTTACACTTGTTTATAACAAATAAAGTCAAAGCTAACATTGTAAAACGTGAAATATTTTGTGATTTTGTGGTTTCACCTGTTAACTGTGAGCTAACATTGGCTCAAACCAATCCCCACATTCAGAGCCATGTTAGGGGACCCTCTGCACCCTCCCTTTAGTTCCTGGGGAGTTGTTTGACCCACTCTGGATGAGATTTCTGGCCCTATAAAAGCCTGAAGTCCCAGTTGTTAACAAGGTGTTGGAGTACAGGTGTGAATCACTGTAAATAGCATCTGAACAGCAGTAAAACCTCGTCTGACTAGAACTTATTTTTACTGCAGCACTGGATGAAGCTACAGACTTTAAATAATAACAATGATAATATACTTACTCACATAAGGAAAATCTATTAAAGCTATAAAAGTCAATAATTAAACTGAGCCTGGTTGATCTAAACCTGAGATTTTCTTGAAATGGAGTTTGAACCTTTTAGAAAAAGTTGTAACTTCTGCTCTCCTGATTTGTATGTATATAGTTCACAACAATGTAAAACCCTCCCATAGACCTTGGGTTACAGGGGTTACAGGGGCTACAGGGGTTACAGACAGTTGCAGTTGGGGAAGTTTTCTGTGCTGACCAACCAATTCCTGTGAACCGTCGTTAATCTGAACTTCTACAACAACCGAGACAGCAGCCTCCACACAGTTGTAGCACCAGTCGCACTCAGCTGCCAGCTCATTCTGGGGGGCTACCTAAGGACCTTGCACTCATTCGACACCGAGGGGTTAGAGACCTCCTCCTCGAAGGGCCCTGAGGACTCGGCGGCCAGAGGTTGGACTTTAGGCCCTTGGGTAGTGAAAGGAGGACACACCGAGGCTGGAGCACTCTAAACGTCCGCTGTATGTTTTATTTTAAGTTGACACAACACCACAAACAAAGAAAACTTTATACAAAGATGAAAAAACTACACCGAGAAACAGAGCTCGCTGTAGCTTCCAGCAGACCTGAACCTGAACTGGACCAACTGGACTCCAACAACAACCCCCGAAGAGCTTCGACCCCCTTTACCTTTAAACAAGAACCTCCATAAGTCCATTATGATAATTCAATAATAGATCAATGAGAAGAGTAACAGGAGACCTGTTGTCTGTGGTTCCTGTAGTTGTTCAGTAGGTGGCGCTAAAGCACCAAAGAGTTCATCATCAACCTCATTAAAAGCCAGAGAAGAAGACAGTGGCTGTGTTCAATCACGTCCTCAGTCAGGAGTTAAGTAGTGGGACAGCGGAGAGAGAGAAACATTCATATCAAACACTTGATACGTTAAAATGAGCGGAAGAGGAAAGGGAGGTAAAGGACTCGGTAAAGGAGGCGCTAAGCGGCACCGTAAAGTCCTCCGTGATAACATCCAGGGAATCACCAAGCCCGCTATCCGCCGTCTGGCTCGCCGCGGTGGAGTGAAGCGTATCTCCGGTCTGATCTACGAGGAGACCCGCGGTGTGTTGAAGGTCTTCCTGGAGAATGTGATCCGTGATGCCGTCACCTACACCGAGCACGCCAAGAGAAAGACCGTGACCGCCATGGATGTGGTTTATGCTCTGAAGAGGCAGGGACGCACTCTGTACGGCTTCGGAGGTTAAACCTGTTATTGATCCACTGAACCAAAGGTCCTTTTAAGGGCCGCACACACTCTCTCAAAGAGACACAGTCCTGATTTATAGTGAGAAAACTTTTATTTTTATATATGTATATGTTAATATTGGTGTATTACAAAGTGGTTGTTACTTAGGGGGTCTACAATTATACAGTTTAGCCTCGTAGAGACCAGACAACAAATTATTCTAAATACAGAATTTAATTAATCCCATCTGTATATATCGGGGTTAGAGCAGCAGAATGATATACAAAAGCATTGACAGGGGAAAACGCATTATGGGCTAAATATATTGTAAATTATATAAATGTAATGCACTAAAAAGTAATTATCATTTTTAACTTTTAATTAGTATGGTACAGTACAGCCCAAAGTTATTGTATACATATTCAATAAAAAATGTGGTTATCACAATGACATTTACTTTTTTTAATGTATAGTTCAATAATTTTAAGTAATATGTATATATTTTTAAAATACTTTAATTTTTTGTTTTTATCTCATAGTTCCTGTAGTACTTTGAAAGTACCCCTAGGGGTACACATATCCCCATTTGAGGGGAATAAATAGGCAATAGTGCATGTAGTGGCTGCTACAGCCCAAGGCTTCAGTAAGATATATTAACATCATTTTTTTTTTTTTTTTAAAAACACAAAATAAAACTGATTCAACCAACACTACAACCAGAACTGGTACGGGCATGAAACCAAAATAAGTTACCTTAAACCACCACTGCCAAAAAAGTAGAGGAAACACTGTTAAAAGAAAACAACTATCCAATCTGGACTCACTATTTTTGGCGTTTTCAGTAACTTTCAGGAAATTCAGTTTCACAAAGGTCTACGTGTTTTTATTACTTTATTCAAATGTACCTTTAAACCGTCCAGACTGACCCCAGAACCACAATAAATCAGACTGAAACAGGAAATGTTTTCCACATTTCATCTCTTTAAATGTCACTGAATAAAATTAAAGAACTATACATGCATAAAGAGAAGTACAGAAAGTGATGCTGATATATACAAAGTAACATGATCATGTTGATGGACTCTATCTATGAAATAATGTGTAAAAGATGTTTAGTGTTATATTATATAATATATAATTATATATATATATATATATATATATATATATATATATATATATATATATATTGTATCTGACCTGCAGAACACTGAAGTTCATTACTGAAGTGATTTTATCTGTTCTTTTCTGTAATAAAATAAACATTTTTGTCTTAATGTCTATTTCTTTCACATTGATGTGATCAGCACTTGATATTTCAGCTCTGTCTTTTAAAGACTTATTCCTCTCACATTGGATCCAAACCAGCTTCATAAACCTGGTTCAGTTTGTTTTGTGGCTGATTGACAACAGTGAACGCTGCTTTAATGAGCCTTTATTAAACCTCCCTCTGCTCTTTGTGTCTCAGATTATAATTTAAACAGCAGAGTGACCTGTTCTTGGTCTCAGAGGATATCTCAGTCAATCACTGATCGTTTAATATATTTTAATTATGTGATGAAGTTGTGAAACATTCATTCTGCTGCTGTAAGAAAACGAGCTCTGAACTAAAGTGTCGCTGTCCAAGGTGCTGATTCTGTTTCTGTTTCCACCACAAAATAAGCAGCTTGTAGTCATTTGACCACTGATACATAACATACGTCAGAAAGATAAATAAACTATATAAACCTTTTTACCTCACTGTGTTAATAAAATGCACACAAGTGCTTATACTGCCCACCATCAAGATGTTTCTTGTAACAATATTATATTTTCATCCGTTGTTTGTTTACACAAAGACTCTGAGTCCTCGTATGTTATCTGCTGTAACTTCAAATAACTTTCTGACAGTATATGTATATATATACATATATATATATACACACATATCTAAGTGGGAAAAGAGACGAGAGCAAGATAAGGCCTTTTTTATACATTTTGTGTCAGAGCAGAAGCATCTCCAAATAAATTGGTGTCATCTTACTAGTAAAAGTATATTTAAAAATAACAATTTTGTTGGAGGGTTTATTGAATATAGCTGATGGAGAAGGTACAGAGGTTACAAACAAAAACAGAGAGGTCCGTTGTCTTATCTCTGTTAGCAGACGTCCTGTGAGAGCTGTAGTCTCATGGAGCTGCTTTATTAAAACTAATAAATGTCCCATGATTCATTGTAGTGAAGATGAGACACAGCAGCTCCTCCTGATGGAGACAGGAAGCTTCTCCCACATCTCCTCACTACAATATTTTAGGTCTCGATTTAAACATTTAAAAAAAGGTTTTGACTCTATTTCCAGAGAGTATCTCTGGACTCACACACACAGCTGTTTATCTATAACATGTGGATAGCATCACAGCGTTCACAGTCCTGATAGGCATTGTGGCCTTCAGTGCATTTCACAAATGGAGACTCACAGATGAAAAAACATAGATGTTGAATTTAAACATGGAACTCCTCTACATAGTCCTGCTGATGTTAAAAAATGTCTCAGACTGGACAACATCAATATTTATAACATCATTAATTATGTTTAATCAGGAGTTTTATACTTTTTTCTGCCCTTCAGGAATCAAATCACCACTTATAGAGAATAAAGTCATTAGTAAACAATCACAGGCTACCATAGTTTCTCCTACATGCTTGAAGGCAAATATAATTCAGATGGTAAACCAACACTGTTAGTTCAGCATGAGGCCAGAGGACAAAGTTTTATGCCTGCAGTAAAAATACAATGTAGTTTGTTTTTGAGTGTCTGTGTAACTTTAATAATAATAATAATAATAATAATAATAATAATAATAATAATGCTGGAGATATTTTGATTAAGTACAAGTATTTTAATCTGAACTGATGTTACTATGAGATTATTGAACAAAGTCCAAATCCTCAATTTCAACATCAGCAGTGAACAAATGTGTGATAATAGTGTTTTAACAATAATATATTGATCAGTGAAACTCAGCCACGATGATCAGCTCTGATGTGAAGTGTGTGACCGTGAGTCTCAGCCATCATCAGTGTGTGTTTGCTGCGAGCAGAATAAGTTGATTTTATCCCAAAGTGATCATCAGCAGAGGATTGTTTTTACTTTGAGTGTGTGAACAAACATGTGGAGCGACTGGAAAACGTGTTTTGACGGAGCTGCGATGCATTTGAAATGATTTCCGGAGAGAAATGAGTGTTAAAAGCCGCCGAGAAGCGCCGCTCAGGACGGTGAATATGTGAGGTTTGGAGGCTCCCCAAAGAAAATGCAGAGAGCATCAGAGCTCTACAAGAGCTGAATATGAAGAGACACAAGTCCGCTATCGGCTCCCTTCACCGTCAGCCTCCAGCACTTGTCCCACATTGAGTTTGGAGCGTTTTATCGATGAGGAGAAAACACAAGTGAGCCGGCATCAGGAGGCAGGGGCCGGGTTGAGTCTCCACGGTCCTCATGGTGTGTTTAAGGGCAGCCTCCTGCTCCGGACTCTCCAACACTCAGTGTCACTGTCGTATCGCGCCGAGCAGGAAGACAACATTAAGTTGACAATGGCAGAAGTAGCTCCAGCTCCCCGCCGCCGCCGCCGCCGCCCCGGCTAAAGCAGCCAAGAAGAAGGTTTCCAAACCGAAGAAGGCCGGCCCCAGCGTCAGCGAGCTCATCCTGAAAACTGTGGCCGCATCCAAGGAGCGCAGCGGCGTGTCTGCGGCCGCCCTCAAGAAGGCTCTGGCTGCCGGAGGCTACGATGTGGAGAAGAACAAGGCCCGCGTCAAGACCGCCATCAAGGGCCTGGTGGCCAAAGGGACTCTGGTCCAGACCAAGGGGACCGGGGCCTCCGGATCCTTCAAGATGAGCAAGAAGACGGCTGAGCCCGCAGCCAAGAAGAAGAAGCCGGCAGCAGCAGCAGTAGTCAAGAAAGCCTCCGCTCCTAAAGCCAAGAAGCCCCGCGCAGCAGCAGCAGGAGCAGGAGCCAAGAAAGGCAAAGCAGCAGCGGCCAAAAAGCCCAAAGCAGCGGCCGCCAAGAAGCCCGCAGCCGCTAAGAAGTCCCCGAAGAAGGCCAAGAAACCCGCGGCGGCGGCGGCAGCCAAGAAAGCCGTGGCCAAGAGCCCCAAGAAGGCCACCAAGAGCCCCAAGAAGGTGGTGAAGAAAGCTCCTGCAGCCAAGAAAGCCCCCGCAAAGAAGGCTGCAAAGCCCAAAGCCAAGAAGGCAGCACCCAAGAAGAAGTGAGCTGTCAGCAGTCTGATTGTGTCCGACTAAAGGCTCTTTTAAGAGCCACCCACACTCACCTTAAAGAGCAAGGTCCTGGTTATTATTGTCGTCTAAATAAAAGCGCATAAACTGTTAATATTAGGACTTAATTAAGAATGAAGAATAGTAAATTTAAGGGGATACAGCAGTAATAAAGTTGACATTTAGGTCCACAACTCAATTGAAATGTACATTAAAGGAGGAAAATGAAACAAAAACAAATATATCAGGACCGCCAGCTCACGTTTTGCTGTTTGTATTATAAGACGCTTTTTTGTACAATAAATTATATATAAGATAAAACTATCTGTTCAACATTTTTCCTAGTATGTAAAATACTTGAGTATCTTATTGGTTAAGATTAGTTTACAATGTTTTGTTTAATCTACATTATACATTTTAGATTTTTTAAAAACATTTTGTATAATCATCAACTGGCCTATTTATTCACAGAAATTGCTCATTTTACACAAACTTCCTCTGTTTATTGCATTCACTGGGTTAATGTACAGTTTATCAGTTGTTATTATTATTATACATCAAATAGAAAAGTGGATAAAAATATATGGATGAATTGAGAAGTATCCCCGCTAAGAGAGATGCTGTGTGCATGGAAATGCTTAAAATGACTGAAATAATCCGCTCTAATCATTATAGTCTATTATAGTCTAATACAACATAGAATAAATCACCTGACAGACAAACTACCTCACTGACAGAAACTACCTCAGTCACAGACAGCCTTGCTGACATGACTCTCATTGTGTGTACATATAATAATAATAATATATATATATTTTCTCTTTCTGTACTCTTTGCACTACATTCCCCTACAGGGTTGAATAAAGAAACATTTTATCTTTAACAGTGAAATGTCCTGATGTTTGTGAAAATGTCACATTTAATTCACAATAAATGGCTTATTATCTTACAATACAATCAAATTAATCTTTGCTATAGTTACATTTAGACATTATTGCAGCATATTAATATGTTCTGAAGTTAATGGTTTGTATTTCATATTAGATCTGAATAATATTCTTCAGACTTAATGAACATTTATTCATATAATTAATTTATTTCATCAAGTAACTGGATTTGTCATTTTGAGGCACAGGGTGTAGGATTTATTGGTGCCCGATTAGCATGACCTCTATTAGATTGATCCCATTATTAAAGGAAACTTCATCTAAGCAAAGTCCCAAAACAGTAACAAGAACACAATGCAGTTATTCCTAGATCCAGTTCTCAAGACTTACATTTTCCTTTTAATTCAATAGGTTCATTAAAAAAAAAAAAAAGCTACATTAATCTGTACAATCACATTAATGTATAATGTAGGATATTAGCTCTCAGTAGAAGCAGTGTGTGGCCCTGAAAAGGACCTTTGTGTTGTTGGTTGTAACAGCAGGTTTACTTGGAGCTGGTGTACTTGGTCACAGCCTTTGTTCCCTCAGACACAGCGTGCTTGGCCAGCTCACCGGGCAGCAGCAGGCGGACGGCGGTCTGGATCTCCCTGGAGGTGATGGTGGAGCGCTTGTTGTAGTGAGCCAGACGGGAGGACTCACCGGCGATGCGCTCAAAGATGTCGCTCACAAAGGAGTTCATGATGCCCATAGCCTTGGAGGAAATGCCGGTATCAGGGTGGACCTGCTTCAGCACCTTGTACACGTAGATGGCGTAGCTCTCCTTCCTGGTCTTTCTCTTCTTCTTGCCGGTCTTGGTGACGCCTTTGGAAACGGCTTTCTTTGAGCCTTTCTTCGGTGCTTTCGCTGGTTCAGGCATTTTGTCTTCAACAGAAAATCTTCCGACGAGTGAAGTCTGTAGCGTTGAGTTGGTATATTTGTATACCAGCATGCAAATACGGCTGCGCTGTCCCTAGAACGGGATTGGTTGAGCGTTAAAACGCGACTGAGCATGCGCTACATTAACAACGTATGGGATAAGATTCACTCTACAGCAGCTCCAGATCCAACACAACACAATGGATAAGAAAATACATATTAAATAAAAAATAGAATAGAGAAATACAAGATATAATGGCAATAGAGTAAGAGTTATGTAAACTATATACAGCTTTTTATAGACAGATGTGATTGATGGGGAACACCACAGCAGGAGGTAGTAAAAATAAATAACTACACAGGACAAAAATATATACAGCAGTATATTTTAGAGGAAATATAGGCTATTGAAAGGGCTGTAAATATACAGTATATATATATATATTCCTCCATATAGTACACTGCCAACAACAGTCAGGTGCTGGTAGGTTGCAGGACCATGTAGTAAGACATCAGAATGAACCACCACACACTGGAATTACTTTATTTAGGAGCAAAAAACACATTTTACCTGCAGCTTCCTCAGGTTGGCTCAGACAAATTGTATGAGCACTCACAGGTGTGCCAAATAGATCGTATTTGTCTTAATTTTTTCCTTTTCTCATTTCAAAATATTTTATATATGATACAAGGTGAGAGTATAACACAAACATGAAATAGAAAAATATATTTTAAAGATAAAGTTAAGAAAACAGCCTGATTAATCTAACAGAATCACAAGAATTACACCACATTACAAACAACAACAACAACAACAACAACAAGAGACAAACATTATGTTGTTGCTGAGTTAAAGAGTCTGACAGCTGGTGGGATGAAGGACCTGCACCAACGCTCCTTATGGCAGTGAGGGAGCAGCAGTCTGTTTGTAAAGTCTGTGTGAGAAGTGAAGTTCAAAATATAAAATATGATGCATTAAGGAAACTATTTCTTATTTTAAAAAAGATGAAGGAAAGTTCCACAACACAAAAATTAGATCATGACAAACTTAAAAATAGAAGTGAATAACTTGAATGGAAAATCATTTGTAAAATAATGAAACAAAATTAAAGCTAATTTTAAAAAATCTGTTAATATCGAGGTGGTGTTTTTGGCCACTGTGGAGACCAAAAAAAGCAAAGTCATTACAGACTTAAGTAAAAATGTTTACCTAATGACAGCTTGAACTGGATTATTTATCAAGGTGTTTTATGTGTGTTATATAAGAAAGAATTATATTGTATTTGAAGAAATTATAGTCAAAGAACAAACTTGTGTCATTATATTGTGTGTGGGATAACCTGTGTTACTTACAAGAAATGTTACATAAACCTGTTTTTACAGTATCAGCCTTTTATTATGTCTCCAGAGATTATCCCTGTGATGAAAGTTTATGGCTTTCCTGAAGCCTTTGTCTAAATTGTCCGTATGTCACTCAACTGCAACATAGAGTATCTCCTTGGCTTTCATATCTTTGTCTTGTGGGTTCGGATGCTGAGTTAGTCAGTTAAACCCATTTACTCTCACAGATCCAGAATCTTTGATGGTCGCACGATTCATCATTCCAGCTGTTTTCTAAATGATACATCTTTATTTCTGCGCAGTCTTCATCTCTGATTGGAACACCATTTGGCTCAGACTGGGCCCAGTAGCTGAAACCACAAAACAACAAAAATTGTTTTTTTTTAAAAAGCATTTTATAGACACATAGACATAGACAGATTGTATTTCTTAACTATAAGTCTTTTTCTGTATCAGTGAAACTGTAGCTACAGTCACATTTTAGTTTATCAGAATTTAACCCCTTAAAATGTGTCATCTGATGTCCAGAGAGGTTAAAAACAAGGAGGTGAACAAAGCCGGGCTAAAGTTACAGTTAAGTTAAAGCTGCCCCTCCAGGAGAAACAAATACTAATAATAACTGTATTATTTTTGCTGGTTTAGCTGCATATATATGAGTAGAGACCAAATTAAATTATATAATAACATAACACAAAGCGATGCCCTATATGCCCCCCATCTTATGACATTGTAGCATCCAAACTTGGTATTGTTGCCATTGTGTAAGCGAAGCAAAGTGAAATAGGATAAAAAATAATGGCAACAATTTGCCTATTAAGTAGTTAGTTAGTTAAGTTAGTTAGTTATAAAAAAGCTTATTATTAGAATCCAGATATTCTGTGGTATTCATTCACAGAGATATGAGTCAAATACTTGGTTTTGGATTATTTATATTTTGTATTTAAGTTGCACATGTACAGTTTAGTTTTTAGTCAAAGCTGCTCAAATATATGCACAGCATTTTACTGCATATTGCATATAGTGTATATACTTTTCATTTAAAGTCTTATATTTTCTATTATATTTTGTAATATTCTTATTTTGTGATATCTTATTGTACTTCCACTTCTGTACTCTTGCACTACATTCCCCAATGCTGCTGTGTCTATTTTGAATTTCTCCTACGGGGATCAATAAAGGTACATCTTATCTTATCTTATACAGTTAAGTATATTCACGTAAGAACATCAGAGTTTGTCTAAAGACACATCAAAAGTGCTAATTAATGTCAGTGTATGCAAAAAACTATTCAATAAATACTAGAGAATTGTTTTTGTGTTGTTAGAGTATCCCTTTGTAAAACTATTTAATTAAGGTTTAAAACACTAAGACATTATTATGTTACCCTAACCTGAGATATCCTGTCCATGTGTTAAGCTTTAAAAATCTTAGACCACAATACTCCCATATTGCAGCTGGATACAGTGAGTGACCACCGCTGGCTGGTCAGAGAGCATCATGGTAACAGAAAAGTTAAGTTTAGTATGAACCTCGTGGTCAGCGGAGTCCCATCCACCCATTTCCACCACCCCTCTGTCGCTGAGTCAGTCAGTCCGATCCACACGGTCTTCTGGAAACGTCTCGTGAACTCCTTGTTGACAGAGAGACAGTAATCAACATTACTACATTATAAACTGTTCTCCAACATCCTCAGTACACACACACACACACACGCACACGCACACACACACACACACACACACACACACACACACACACACACACACACACACACACACACACACACGTACCTGTTCTTCTCTGCTGTTAATAATCACCAGATCTGCACCTCTCTGCAGACAGTCATATCTACTGTCTTGCCAGGATTTCTCCAGAGAAGAAATGTAATAGAAACTCCCGCTGAAATACACCCATCCTTGTTGGCGATTCAGATCTGTGTAACAAAAACTCTCAACATCTCAGTGACGATTATCTGTTATATCATGTCTTTTTTTAGAGAACTAAAAACAGAATGACAACATGGCGCCTCTTCAATTCACTTCCTGGTTATTCAGCCCACTGAATAAGCACAGCAGTGTTTCTGGGCTGCACTTTCTAGGTTATATTATATATCTATTTCTATTTTATTTTCACATTTTGAGTTTAAATGGTCTCAGTTTGGTTCGGTTTAGGCACAAAAGCTACTTGGTTCTGTTTAGGGAAAGATTATGCAGTGGTGTATTGCAGCGTATATGCAGGTGTTCGGAGTATACCCACTTATTTATCAGTCAGCGTTGGGTAAACTCACATGTGCATTATTCAATAGTGTTCTGCAAGTTTGTTTTTTTAACTAGGATGGCTAAGAAATGACATTAGTGGATGAAGTAAGAAATAAGGAATACTTCACTCAGTTATGGGATTATTATTATTATTATTATTATTATATAAGTAGTTGTAACAAAGTAACAAAGTGCAAATACTACATTTATGAGTGAGCTAAATATGCGAGCGCAGTCTTACATATCACTGTTTATAACACTGACGGACACTTACAAAGTAGTAGTATACCTACTTCTCCAAACACCACTACACCTCTGAGGGTTAAAATAAATACATAACTTACCTTAAGTTATGTTACATACTTAAATAAGTAAAGTAACTTATGTAATGTAGATTTTTAAAGTTAAACAGAAGTCAACATTGACTTTTGGTTTAATACACAAATAGTTGTCTCCAGTGCTTGTTTGGCCCATCCATCCACTCCAACCTCCCCCATATGCAGACTTCCTGACTCTTTATACTACCGCCACTGACCAAGCCGCCATATTTGACCACTTTGGAGCGAGAATTTGCTCTTTATGACAAGATTAATTGTCCAACATTGCACTCATGCAATGTTTTGCTGAATTCACACTTTCATCAAGCACAGAAACACGCTAAGGTCCTTTAGGAGAGAAGAAATCAGAAATAAATTATAAATAAAACCTTGAAGCTTTTCCCAAAGATAATCTTTCTCTTTGGCCATGTCTTCAAATCTTTTTTGGAGTTGGTTTCTTTCTTGAACCAGGTTGTTGTAGCTGGTCTGTAACTGGTCTCTTTCTTCAGTCAGGTTGTTGTAGCTGGTCTGTAACTGGATCATTTCCATTTCCCATTGAGAGTTGCTCTTAACTGTTTTTGACACATAGACAAGCAAAAAAAGAAACACTGTCAGCCAATATTATCCTCTATGGGCTTTATCATCATGCTCACAAAGTACTCACATAGGAAAACCAGAGCAATGAGACTGATCATAAGGAGAAGACACAGCAGACTCAGACACACTGCAGCAGCAACTCTGCAGGAACTCTTCTTTACAGCTCTGTCACCTGAAGGTAGAAGTCAGTTTTCATCATGTGTTTGTTCTTCAATGTGAAATCAAATAAAATCAAGTCAACTCATTCACTAACTGTTTGCTCTCCCAGTGGAGTGGGTCCTAAGGCTCATCAACTATTTGATGGATATGATGCTAACACAATGAACGATGAACATGGTAAGCATGAATATAATTAATCCCAAAGCCAGATTGGATGGGTGTGCTTGGTTTGTGATCGCGGAGATTGAGGCGTGTGTGTAATAGCAGTGCATTTCGAGTTGATTGCCTGAACCAGCTCGCAGGCGTTGCTCTATTAGTTCCTGCTCCAACAACTCAAAATGTCTGCTGTGAAAAAGGTCTGAATGCTCAGCTTCAAAGAGACGCAGAGTGTGGCTGTAGACTAAAAATAGTGGATGTAACATCTTGTTAAAACCATCAATAACAGCACACAAGACTCTTTTCCTTCACTCGGTCTGTAAAGAATGCTCACATATTCGCATGAAACTGCAATTGATCTCATATTAAACGATAAGAGTGTACCTGCGTACCTGAGAGTGCAGGTCCAGTTATGTCGATCTCGTCTTCATTTGCATAAATATTTTCTGACTGTTTTCTCTCCCTTGTCCACTTCCAGTCAGTATCTGAGGGTCCCTCTACATTGGCATAGATATCCAACTGTTGATCCATGATGTTCAGCTTTACTGCTTGTACAGTGTCCAGAGACAGTGCTTCTGAAATTACCGATTATTGTTCTGAACTGAGCTCAATGTAACAAAGACAGCACACAATTAATACGTGTGAATCTGTACCAGGAAACTGAGGTCTAGTGGGATTCATTATTTTAGGTTACTACTTTTACGTCTGGTTTACACATTGCTGCTGCATGAAAGTAGAGTACTTCACTTTCATGCGGCTGTTTAGAGTTATGTTGCAAAATCTCTGAAATCTTAAACTTGAACCATCATTGTTGAGAATGAGTAAGTACACAGATTGATTGATTGGTAGAGAGAGAGAGAGAGAGAGAGAGAGAGAGAGAGAGAGAGAGAGAGAGAGAGAGAGAGAGAGAGAGAGAGAGAGAGAGAGAGAGAGAGAGAGAGAGAGAGAGAGAGAGAGAGAGGTCCCCCACTTTGCACTGACACACTTTACATTGTTCAGTTGAGCTTTGTCTTTTTTAAAAGGTATGACCACATCCAGTTTCTGTGTTACAGAGCAGATTATTTTTAGACATATTTCTGATCTACTGAACAACAGGGCAAAAGAAAACATTCACAGTGTGATGTTGTATTACTCATAGACTGATAGATTTAAGTGGTTGGACACAACAGTGAATCTACAGGCTTTTACTTTATGATGATGAAAACACAAAATGTCCTGACTTTTGTTTGTAGTTTATTTAAATACAAATCTGATGTCAGAGAAGAAATTGGTACACAAGTATGTGTATTTGACATACCAATAACTTGAAATCTGCTTACATTTTACTCTATTATTATCACGCCATGAGGGAGGAGGCAATGTGTCAAGACCATTTCTTATAGGGAGTTGAAACGACACCTAGAGTCTCCTCACATAAAGCATGTGTGAATGAGTGTGAAGGTAGTCTACACATTTTCCACAAAGGAAGTTGAGGGCTGGTTAGGAACAGCAAGTTAAGTTAGATTGATGTGAGAATTTAGGATGCTTAACATTAGCTGACCATCAGCTAGCTAACTAGCCAGCTAACGTATACAGTGACATAATGACGTGGCTCTATGGTGGCTCTCTGGCACTAGGACTAGCCCAGAACTAGGTTTTTGTTGGTGGAAAGGGGGTCTCTTCTGAGGTTACCTAACAATGTCAGTAATTTAAATTATTGATAAGTCCTTGTTTTGCATTTTCACTTCTTCTGGGTTTACTGAAATCTAATATGGCATTCAGAAACGTTTTACCATGAAGCATTGACTTCCTCTATTTTCTTCCCTTTTAAAACTTTTCCTGTAGTTACGTCCCACCTACCTTGAGCTACAGTATGATAATATTAATGCTAAAATACTGCGGGACTGCTCCAAGCAGAACAGAGTACATCAGAGTTCAATTAGGTGAAGTGAGGAAACATGTCTGAGGATATCTATGCCAAGCCAGACCTCACCAAAAAAGTTAGATTTCAGGCAGATGAGAAGAAGGACAGAAACACGGACGTCGGTGATAACAACGATAAAGTTGTAATTTATGACAACTACAGGGCAGAGGGCAGTTCTCCGCCGAAATCACAGGACAACACTACTGAGGAGCAACAGCAAAGTATCTATCTGTCTGTCTCATATGTGCTGCATACATACTGAATTTAAAATTACTCATTTATTTGCAGTATTGAGGGAAACAACATATTTTATGTTTCATCATATTCATATTTGTTACAGCAAATTAAGAAATGTATGCTTGATTGTGCATGCATGAAAAGTACTCCAATTATTTACTTTCAGTAACAAGTTATTACTATTATTACAGTAACTTATTCCTCTAAAACAAACTCTCATCAGCAGCCACTTCAGTCAGTGTAAGCTCAGAAAAGAGGACTCTTCTCAGAGTTGCTGTTGCAGTGTTTCTGGGGCTGCTGTGTCTTCTCCTCCTGGCTGCCATCTCTGGCATCATCATATGTAAGTTTTCCAGATTTCATCAAGAAAATTGTTATGATACATTACCAATATGTATGATGTAAGTGATCTTTGAGCCTTTCACCTGTTGAACCCTTGTTGTGGCAGTAATTCAAGTCAAAAACAACTTGAACGTAGCGAGAAACCAACTGTTGGTGGACAATCACAACCTGACCAGAGAGAGAGACAAACTGGAAAGCATCAATCGCAACCTGACCCAAAAGACAATCCAGTTAGAGGACAAGATAAACCTTTTGAACACCATTAACAACAACCTCACCACAGAGAGAGATGAATTACAAAAGTACATTGGTGAGTGAAAATATGAATATCGTTTTTAATGAAAGGAGTCTGAAATAATACACAAATTCACTTTCTTGCCAAGAATTGGATAAAACGATCAACACCAGTCTCACATCTGTACGATAAATATCTCGGGCCAGCAGCCAGTTAGCTTGGCACAAAGACTGGAAACTGAGAGAAAGTGACAGTAAAGTTAAAGTTCACTCATTAAAAAATTATAAAGCGTTCATTGAACTTTTACAAAAATTTAAGTATACCTATAACTCACTTCCCAAAAACGGTCCCTCCAACAAGGTTTTCATAAGCGACTGTTTAGACATTGAGAGCTTCCTAGCTAATTCAGACAGAATGGCAGAATATAAAATCTGAGAGTGGTGTTTCTCTTTGGTGCTCTGTGTTGTGTTTTGGGGTTATATACAGTATTGTGACTGAAGGCATATCACTGTGTGTCATTAAACAGAGAAAACATGCTGTCCTGCCAATTGGATGAAGTTTAGCCGTAGTTGTTATTTAATTTCCACCACAATGGCAAATTGGGATGGCAGCAAAGCGTTCTGTGAAAGTCACGATGCACAGCTGGTGATCATATCTAGCTTTGAGGAACAGGTGAGTGGATGAAAAACCTTTTTTACTTCCTCTTCAACTGATTTTTTCTTTCTCTGCAAACTTGCATTTAAATGGTTGCAAAGGCTACCAAATTACAAAATCTGATTCCTTTCTTATATTCATAATTTGAATATTCTGAATTAAACGTTTAATGTTTTCTGACGCTGTTAAGAGATTGCGTCAGAAATATATGTAAAATAAATGGTCTCCATATAGTTTCAGTTGCTGCTTTTGTATGTGAAAGAAAACAAATTAGGCATTTGGCCTTGTAAAAACATGGAAGAGGGTAAAAAAGGTCAGTGAGACATGTTCAGGTTTCTCCTGAAATGTATAAAAAAGGTCTGCAATGATTTCTGCAAAACTGCAGAAGTAAATACACAATACAACAGGGAGAGAGTATGAGGCCTGTGAGTTTTGTGATAGAGAAAGTTCATTCTGCTTTTTACGTTTCTACCTTTTTCACAGCAGTTGTCTTGACTTATTGCAAAAGTATATGTGTTACCCTTAAACTGAAGCAGCAGTTAACACCTAACCCTTTAAAATGAGAAATAACTATCAGCCACCTGAATGTCTCTTCTAGAGATTTATCAGCTCATTTGACCTGAACTTCTGGATTGGTCTGACTGATAAAGAGGAAGAAGGGGAGTGGATCTGGGTAAATGGAACAGCAGCATACACAAAGTAAGACATTTTATATATTTATTTCTATTGACTGTCTAATTTCAAAATGTACATCTTGACAAACGGTGTTTACTTGATTAACTGATTAATTAAAGCCAAGGGCTCCCAGCTGTTGTAATGTGGCTCTGAAGACAAAGTCTGATTTCAATCAAAAGACTAAATAACACAGATGATGAAGTGATTAACTCTGCTGCGCGTCATATACTGACAATAAAGAGCTGGTGAGCATGCAAGTTCTACTTTTTGCAAAACTGAGCATCTGTGATCTTAAATTGAGCTTTTCTTCCCTTTCAGTGCTCTGTTAAAATCAGAATTATGTCGTACCTCATAATAGCAGTACAATTCACAGACGCCAACTGTATTGATTTCTCATATTTTGGTAATGGTTTAAAGTTTTGGCTGAGCAGTTTTTGTTCTCTCATCTCTAGGTACTGGAGAACAAATCAGCCGGATAATGCAAGAGGTTCTGAAGACTGTGCTCAAATTTTAAAAGGATATTCCGTTACTGAAAACTGGAATGATATTCCTTGCATTCAAGTATTCAATTTTGTCTGTGAGAAAATGCTTCAATAAAATCTAATTATTAAGCTATGCTTTTGGACTCACATGTAAAATAACATACTGTATGTTCTCCTCCTATGTGCTGTATTTAATGTATAAACTGCTGAAACTCTTCACTAACAATATATTCATCAATTATTTGTTACGTTTGTGATGAAAAAAAACAAAAAGGAGTTATTGGAGTAACAGAACTGAAAGCAGATGAAGAGCTAAAATGCTTGATGAAAATTATGAAATTGAAAGTATCACAATAGTTTGTATTAGCAGTTTAATTTAGGGGTCGTTAGTTTGCTCATTTCCAATTAAAGAAATAGTTGAAAATAACAAACCAGACTCCTTTATATACATCTTGTTTTATTTAAAATGATTTATCTTAACTTAGGTGAGAGAAGTTAAAAATCTGGGTGTTAACCTTTTAGTTAAAATACAGAAATATTATTAGTAATGAAACAGGTTATTTTCTGTTCACCTGCAAAAGTAACAGTTTTGTTTGTTTTTGAATATAATGTAAAGCACATTGAGTTTTCATGTTATGAAATGTGCTCTATAAATTTATAAGCTAAAGCTTTTTCATTGCTTTTGCCCTTTTAATCAACTTTATTATAGTTCACACATATAACAGATTATATAGACAAGCAAATTGCTTCAATAAAATCTTTGTAAAGTGCAAAACATTTATAAAGTGCATTTAGTTCATAAAGTTCAGGTCGTCAGAGACTTCTTTTTTTTTCGGTGCTGATTCATATATTTAAAGTGTTCAATGGGAGGAGAACGTTTTTGTCACGGTTTTTCCTCTTCCTGAGTTCTGTGAGTATTTGTTTTGTGACTGTCTTACTCTCGATAAAAGTCTGGTAAATGGTCATAGCAGTTCTTGTCTTCCAGAGTTTGAAACAGACAATGCTTATGATGAGTTGGAGTAATTCAGTTTGATCAGGTGGTTTGTTTCCGGCCATGATTCCGTACATCACTGATTTCCAACATGGTTTATAGTTTGTTCCAAAGTCTTTCAAAGCGTCCCAGACTTACAGAGTTGTAAAACAATCCATTAAAGTTGACAAGGCTGGTTGACTGAACCCAGGAGCAGACACAGACAAGATGGACGGGTTAAGGGTTTTTATTCCACACGCTCACACACTGGGGGGAAGAGGGGCGGCCACGGCAGGAACAGGAAGGTGAAGGGGCAAGAGAGACCGGAGACACGAAGGCACTGGAGAGCCGACTCTGGGAGCTGAACTGAACACGAGAGGATCCCTGGAGCTCGGGCGAGAAGGTGGTCAGACAGGGGAACAGGCACAAGAATATCAAAGTTGACTTGAAATAACAAGCTACACACTGGAAGGGGCCACAAAAGCACCACCAAGTAGGCTGAAACAATCTGTCGATGACTGGGAGGAAGACCGGGGTTCTTGAAGGCTGAGGCATGATGAATGATTGAGAGCAGGTGAGACAGCAGACAGCAGGTGAGGAGAATGGAGGCCGCACCCTCATCAGACACACAGGGAAGGAGGAGGAGCAAAGGGAGCAGGAGGGGAGCAGAGCCATGACAAAAGTTGTGTCTCATCATTGTTGCAACCAGTCATTGGACATGTCGTTACATAGCAACTCCAAGACACAACAGCCCTGACAGGAAGTCTCCCCACAGACACCAGCCACCTAAAATCTCTAATACTCTCTGACATGTTTTTACACTCTAAAATATTCATCACCTCTGTGCTTTCATTTACAGTTAGATTCTTATATACAATAAAACCTGCATATTTAAAAACATTAATTCATTGCTTTTGCCGTGTATCATAACCAAAGTCATGGGGGTTGTTTCTCTGTCACCATTAGCTTCAGCTGCAGTTTACACCTGTTGTGTAGTAGTGTGTATTATCAGCTGTACTCTTGTTAAAGTATTGTATCAGTTTAAAGTCTTAAAGTTCAATATAAGGACAGATTTATAAAATGTATACTTTAATAAAAAAATATTATTTTCATGTGTATGTTCAACATTACATTAGAATAAAGCGTCAAATTTAATTGTGTATTAAATGTGTCACTTTTATTTATTCCATGCCAGAACCAGAAAGAAACTAATCCTGTTATTATCTAATGCTCCGCCTGCAAGAGGACATGTGGTCAATATAGTTGTAATAATAATAATAATAATAGTCTAGTACAATGCTTAAAACAGACAGATATTAAGAATTACATTATCAAGGCCAGACTGGAGCAGGAGCTCATAGAATCCCACTCAGTGATTCTTTTGGTTAATTTATTGTATGTTGGCTTTTTATTTAACAATAAGTGGTCTCTGAACGTTGACCTTTATCTCTTGAATATCAAACTGATGATCAGGTGAATTTAGAAGGAACCAGCAGAAGCCCAAAAGCTGCTTACTGACTTCCTGTTTTTCTGCTCTTCCTTTTTTATATGCCATCATCAGTGTTGATGTCCAGCCTCTTTCAGAGAACAACCCCCAGCTCGTATCTCAACGTTACAAACTTTTTAATACTGCGAGTACAATAGTGTAAGTAATAGTTGGTTTATTAATGTATGATAGTCATTTGAGAAATAATGTCAGAGGACATGTTCGCTGAGCCTGGCATCACCAAGAAGGTTCACTTTGGTCAGAACCACAGGGAGAGTATAGTGGACATCTATGTCAGTGCAGAAAGCCTCAGAGTGTATGACAACCCCTGGGTGGAGGGCACATCAACAAGTATACCTACAGGGGCTCAGCACCCAGGTATGAACACGACGAGAAACAAGCGTATGTGCGTCTTTCCTTTATTTCTATGCTCAAATTTCAATCTATGTTTAGTTTTCTGTTGTTTGATGGTGTAGTTTTGTTGCCTCTGAACTTGTGTTAATCAAATACTCCTGCATGTTATGAATTTACAGTAATATAAAGCTAAACACAATGTTTCATAATCCTAATTCTGAGCCTGATTATTCTATTTTGTTAAGTGTCTGTGGTCACTGAAAACTCAAGGAGGAGGAAGCGTACCAGAACAGTTTCAGTGTTTCAGTGTGTGGTGTATCTTCTCCTCCTGGCTGGGATCATGGCCCTCATTTTCCTCGGGGTCCAAAGTGAGTTTTCTGAGTTAATTATGTTTGGTGTTAGTCGTAGGAAAAGTCAATAAACTAGAACTTCACATGCTGATTCAATAATGACTGTAAGATAACATATGGGAATATTGAGTTGCTGTTTTGTTGTTCCCCTCGTTGCAACAGTGAAAAATGACAAAACCAGCTGGAGAAAAGAGAGAAACCAGTTACTGGCAGTTAATGCCAAGCTTGAGAAAATAAGGGACCAGTTAATAGCCAATAACACTGAACTCAAGAAGTGTGTGTTGCTTTGTGGTGAGTAAAAATATTATATTTTATAATTTTTGTTCATTGGTGACATCTTTGTTGTGTCAATAATCTAATACAACACAAGGTCCTCCATGTTTTAGTCATTGTTTTTTTGTTTTTAACATATATTATTTAATAGGTCATCTGTACGGCCACATTGTGATATGTGGTGGCTGTAAGAAGAAAAGTACATCAATATTTTAGATTAACAAAACAGGATAGACAACATTTCAGACAACACAGCAGCACAATTTTACCATTGTTAATCCTGAATGTCTGCAATGTCGGTAGTTGAAGTAGAAAGTAGGAAGCAGGCCGAGGTGCGTTCATTGTTCCTCTGTCTGCTGCTTTTACATGTAGTCACACTTCTCTTTGTGGTTTTTCAAATACAATGAAAAAGAGACAATGAGCCGGGAAAAAAAGTTCACTCTCTGTTTACGTGTAGCTCCAAGCAGAAACAGAACAAAGTGCAGCCCTACCTCAAATGTGTAGGAGTGGTGGTGAAGTAATTATCAATTATGTTGAAATGCTCCTCACCAAGTTCTTGAAAGGTGGAATGATTGCAAAGTAACTGAGTACATTTACCTAAGTACTGTACTTCAGTGCAATTTTGAGGAACTTACTTTACTAAAGTATTTCCATTTTATGCTACTTTTTACTTTTTGCACTCTACATTTTATAGGATAATATTGTACTTTCTACTACATCTATTTGACAGTCTTAGTTACTATAACATTTGTACACAATGTATAAAATAACTTTTAAACTAAAGACTAAACCGGTAGACTAGTTTCCAACAGCTCCACCAAATAGTGATTTTTCTCTCCTAAACTTCTCACATGGTTTAATTTCATTAAATGCTCAAATGATCTAATATGTAATAAAAAATCACAGACTAGAGAAAAACTCCAAAACCTTAAAACAGATGTGTGTATCAGATGTCCCTGTATATAAAACTGTATACAAAGTAGATTGAACAAGCTGTACCTCTAGCAGCTAAATATATTCTAATGATATCATATATAAATAGATATGTATAAATATATGATATATCATACTGTATATATCAGTCTGAAAACCTAATTTCTGCTTTGCTGTTGTGTGTAAAGACATCAGTTTGTGTTTAAAGGTAAACATTTTACTGTCTGTTTGGTCCTTTGCATTAAGAGTATTTGGGGACATTGAAACTATGTTCTGAAAACTGAGCTAAAGCCATCTTAAATAACTGTAATACTGTTATGTATTAGGGCTGATTCAAACGTCTCTCTTTGGAAACACAGGACAGAAGGATAAGAAATGTAAGAATTGGCCTGAGTATTGCTGCTAAAGGAAGGAACTGAGAAAGTGTGGATGGGACGCTGCTGACCACAGAGCAGTAAGTGTTGGAATCGTTATTGTAGGACATTTATAGGATTTATATTAGGCTACTGGCTTTAACCTCATCTGAGCAGGAATATCAAGTCAGAGTGTGCAGTTTTGATGAAACTAGACAGTAAACAAGGGGGTGTTTCCTTTTTCTTTTTTTCCCCCCTAAGGTACAGCCTTCTATGTAACATAACTATTTCTGGCCTTTTTTACCCCCCTAACTTCTTTCCCCCCCTTATGGGTGCCCGCCTGATGCATGCAGATAACAGACACAGTGAAAACGTTTTTTATAGGAATTATATTTCTGTACACCATAGAAAAAAAAAACATGGATTCCTGTAAAAAAAAAAAAATAAAAAAAAAAAAAAAAAAAAAAAGTAGGCTACTGGCTTTAAGATCCCTCATCTGACATTTATCAATAAACAAATAGTCTACTTGGAACAATAATGCGTGTCTGTTTGTTTCACATTAAAATCATTAAAAGGGCATCTACACATTCTACCTTATTAAAGATACAGAATCTATATGCAAATGTTAATTTCTGATGTTTTCTGTTGGATACAAGATGTCTCCAACCTACTGTAAAGTCCATTCTCAGTGTTTGTGCGCTGGTGGCTTCAAGTTTCTAAATCAAACTTTTCCGAGTTGAAGATTGGATCAGTTAAACTCTGCACATATAACCTACATATTATACATACATTGTTCTGCACAGTAAAGCTCAAACATCCAACAAAAAAAACAAATTTTTGGCTGGAGGATCTTAAGCTGTCCATTTATAACATTAATTAACATTAACAATTGTATTCCTCTGGAGAAACCTGTTTTTACATTTACGTTGTGCATACCTGGTTTGTGGAGTTTCTGGTGCACAAGAGGTCATGTCTTATGTGTGGCAGGTTTCGTATGAAGGTTTTAATGTGTTTACTACTAGCGTGTTTCCTCAGTCACCATTTTAGTTGTGGTGTTTTTGTGTTAACACAAAAAAATACACAAACAAATTACAATTAGCAAAAAGAGGGAGGACTAGATTCATGGTCTGAAATCTCCTGTGTAAAATAAATAAATAATCTTTTGCCATTTTAAAGAAAAGAGCTTGCATATTTTAGAAAAACAAAATCTTTCCCTTCTCATTTTAATTGTATAAAACATGTTTTTTTTTCTCTCTCTCTGCAGGTACTAGCATGTCACACAACTTTTACATCAACCAAACGAAGATTGTGTTGTGATAGAAAAGCCACAAGATGAAGATGAAGATCGGTGGGATGTGTTAAAACGTTCAATGACAGAATAATTGACTTCAACCAGTTTCCACATTCTGTTCCTGTTCTAATTAATTGTGTTACATTAGTGAAATTCACTTTCAAATAAATGTTTACAGAATATTATTACACTGGAGAGTTGGTTACTATCTGATCTTCTTACTACTTTCCCAACTTGACTGTTGTAGTGATGCTGCTTTTTTTCTCTCATCACAGCAATTATGTTTGTGAGTAATCAAAGCACAACCCTATCTCATACAAAAAGTGTTTATTAACTACAGATTTACTTTGTCAAACATGGCTGGTGCCTGGGTTCAGTGTCAGTATGTCTGACATCCTTATACTGCACAGAAGTCATAGCGAGCTTGTCAGTGTGGATGGTTGGGTAAACAAAGCACAGAGACTGTGACAGGGGTTTGACATCCCACATGTTGCAGTTGTTTGGCTATTACCGGTATGCAGATATATGTTTAGTATGAATATTGTGCTTTCTAACAACCAAACCAATCCCCTGGGTTTTATAAATGCAACTGCTCCAACAAACTGTATTGTAATACTTGTAATAAATGTTGGCCTCTTTCTCTCAAAACATCACATGATGAATCTTTTTATATATATACATATATATATAAATGATATATAGCAGTATTTGTAGGGTCAATCCTAATTCTCCTTTCAAGTAGCCTGCGGGACAGTTATCCCTGCCCTATCTTGATATCAATAATGTTATAATAGTAATCAAATAACCTCAATCTAATTTAATTCAAAGAGCTAATTTCCCTTTTGTTTGATTTATCTCCCTCTTGTCCTTTGTCATAGATAGATAGATAGATAGATAGATCTTCTTCCGCTACTGAATATCAAATAATATGCGGAAATAAAATAGTACCAGGTGACACTGTATGCGCATTGATACAATGTTATCCGCCCGCCTCATCTGACGTCACATCCGTCCCTCCAGACAGACTTTTGTCTGCCGGCATTTTCTTTTTGTTTTCCCTGTTCCGACTTTAGCTCTTAGATCAGTCTTCTGTTTTGTAGGCCGGCTAAAAGGGTTTCAGACGAAGTCCGTTTTGCCGCAGTAGTCTGTAACACAATGCCTGGATTTTCCGACAGAGACCGAGGCAGAGACAGAGGGTGAGTCCGCTGTCAGCTGTTTCTGGACGTTAGCGGAGATCAACGGCTTAGCATTACGGTCGCTAGCGGCAGAGCTGTCATTGCTGTCTCCTCAAAACAACACCGCTGTGTCGGTGCTGTATGTCGCCACTCGTTGTTATTTGACCACAGGCGTGTCAAAATGTAAATAAATAAATAAACATAACGATTAAATGCCGTGAAGCGTCCCTGTGTTGCCGTTTAAGTGTAATATTCTCAGTTTCCGAGTGGAGGTAAAATGGCAGCTAACGGCTGTGTGTCGGTGGCAGGTCGCTCGGTTCGTTATGGACATGTGACGCAGCGGTGTCTCTTCTTGCAGATTGCACATCTGAAACCAAAATTTGTGTCGCAGAGGCCCAATTTATTTTTAACAACTCTTTTTTTCCCATTAATAGTGTCACATAGAATAAGTCGTACCGTAATGTTCCGGTTTGCCGTATGTAAGCAGGTCACGTCAACCTGAATTCAGGTTAATGTCTGTACGGTACAGACGCGTACGGCAGCATTCAGTTATCAGTACATTGTTGTGTGTGTACATACACACACACATATATATATATATATATATATATATATATATATATATATATATATATATATATATATATATATCCATTGGTTGTGTCTAAACAGGCCTGGGGTTAACAATTAGTAGCTGTTGTTAATAAAAGTTGTTCTGGACGCCAGAGATGCGTAGTGTTTGTAAAGCAGTTAAAGCGCACAAATCTCAATTCAGTAACAAGTTTTGCCTCTAGGTTATTAAGTTGATCTGTTGGGAAGATTGTGTTCTTCTACAAATGTAACGTTAGATTAAACTCTTTCAAAGCTTTTTCACAAATTTAAAGCCCCCTTCACCTTTTTTTTGTGCAGTTTCTTTGTGTGGTGTTAATAAACAGGGAAGAGAGGACATTAATACAGACAAGTCTGTATGTAGTTTGCAAGGCAGTGTTTATACGAGCACTCTAATGATTTAATATTGTATTTTATGTACATGAAGTTGGGGAAGTGACGAGAGATGGACAGTCACTGAACCCAACACGTTCTATTATGCAGTAGCATTTTTCCGTCTGTCAAACCAAGGCCATGCTGAGATGACCCTGATGACATCACTATGAGATTAGATTACATTCAACTTTATTGTCATTGCACAGGGTACTGAGACAACAAAAGGCAGTTTAGCGTTAAACATTTTTTACCCCTAATGATGCATAGTTTTGCATTAGGTTAAACTTAACTATTATTTTTACAGGCTGGCTCACAACTAGTTAATCAATCTCTGTCAGAAACCAGTGGAGGGCCCCCTTTAATAAGTAACACCTCTGGCAGTGCATCATGTTGTGTGTTCCCCTCTCTTTTACTTAAGGTATGGTGGAGGACCCCCTCGTTTTGGTGGTGGTGGAGGAGGCAATCGCGGCGGACCTCCTCCAGGGAAGTTTGGCAATCCTGGCGAGAGGCTGCGAAAGAAGCACTGGAACCTCGACGAGCTTCCAAAGTTTCAGAAGAACTTCTACCAGGAACATCCAGATGCCACTCGCAGACCACTTGTAAGACCCTCTTCTCTTTTCCTGCTGCTTTATATGTATGTTTTATGTGTAATGGTAATTTATTAAAATGTCCTCTCCAAATTCCAGCAAGAGGTTGAACAGTACCGGAGAACCAAAGAAGTGACAGTCAAAGGCAGAGATTGCCCCAAACCAATTGTAAAATTCCATGAAGCTGCATTTCCAAGTGAGTACAATTTCATGCTCCACCGCATAAATAACCTTGAGTAGTCCTTTGCCTATTGGCTGAAATATGTCAAATGTGTCAACATACGGGGTCATTGTCAGAAGTTTTGATGTTTAATGAATTAACTTGCATATCTTACTTCTTCAGGCTACGTCATGGATGTTATTGGCAAACAGAACTGGACTGAACCAACTCCGATTCAGTCTCAGGGGTGGCCAGTTGCCCTGAGTGGCAAAGACATGGTTGGCATTGCTCAAACTGGGTCTGGGAAAACCCTTGCAGTAAGTGAAGTATTTTCCAATTATGATTGTTTTCAAACCCTCTCTACCCAGCACCTATGTGAGATAAATCTGTTTTCCCCCATGCTTCCCAAGTTTGTTAAGTCCTAAAACAACTTTTGGAGTACTTAAATTAGAAAAGAAACCTGCTTGATACTAGATCTGGGGGCATGGCAGTTCTGGCAAGGTGCTGTACTCTTAAGTGGATTAAGGCCATATATTATTTATGCAGTTATATTGATGTGTTGTACCATTATAGGGTTCTTCCAGAAGCAATCTTCTCTACCTCTCAGTTGGACTAGGTCCTTTACACTGTTGCACAGAGGGATTGGCTCAAGATTAAACAGTTGACGTGAAAAATAGCCATTTAAGAAAAGAATGTTTTAACTTGAAACTATGTTAACACTCGTCAGCTAAGAACACTGATATACTCCTGTGTACTGTGAGTTTATTTTCCTTTTTTTTTTTTTTTTTTTTAGTACCTTCTGCCTGCAATTGTGCACATCCAACATCAGCCATTCTTGGAGCATGGAGATGGACCTATTGTAAGTATGCTAGAAAATATATTATTCTAGTGTGAGAGTCTGTTGTGTCTATCCAAATTTAGTACTATTCATGAAGAATGGGGAATTACTTTTAAGCTATCACATTATTGTAACTAAAGGCCCAGATGAAGTATTGCTCTGTATATGACTAAGCAGCTGCTGAACCCTCAGTCTGGTGTGCCAAACAAATAAGAAACCAGTGAACCTGGTATTTTTTGTGCGTTAAGTTTGTGTATGTCTTGTATTTCACCCAGCTGCAAAAACAAGTGTGTGAAAAGTTGTCCAAGCAGTACCATAATATTGTGGTATCAGCAAGATTACCCCCATTTGTGAGGGGGCAGATAAATTGCTTATAATCACAGCTTGACATGCCATGGCTGAGCAAGTTAAATGGGGATGTTGTGGTCCTGCTCCGCAGGGATCCTTCTTTCTTGATTGTGGTGAAGTTATTTGACCCTGTCTAAAGATTGTCCTACATGAATGGATAAACCCAAAAGTTGCTGTAACTGCCCAGGATATGTGTGTGTGTGTGTGTGTGAAGGATGCAGTACGCTAAGAAATATGAAAAATGTATCCATCTTTCTTCAGTGCTTGGTGCTGGCGCCAACCCGTGAGCTGGCTCAGCAGGTGCAACAAGTGGCTGCTGAATACGGCAGGGCCTCCCGTCTCAAGACCACCTGCATCTATGGTGGTGCGCCTAAAGGACCCCAAATCAGGGATCTTGAGAGGGGTATGCTTACTTTGTTACTCTCTCTGTAAATTGTACTCAATTCATCTCACTCTTCTTTGCTATTAGGTATTTGTTGTACAATTTAGGTTTGAATTGTTTTAGTGTTAAATTATGTTGTAGTAAGTAGTAAGTAACAGTTTGGTTTTAGTTTTGCATTTTTAACAGTTTTCTTCTTCTTTTTCTTCTTCTTCTTCTTCTTCTTCTTCTTCTTCTTTTTTCTTCTTTAAGGTGTTGAGATTTGCATTGCTACCCCAGGTCGTCTTATTGACTTCCTGGAGTGTGGGAAGACTAATTTGCGTCGTTGCACCTATCTGGTGCTGGATGAAGCTGACCGCATGCTGGACATGGGATTTGAACCTCAGATCCGCAAAATAGTGGAACAAATTCGGGTAAGTTATGTTATTTTCTTTAACTTGGCAGACAGTTGAAATTATTATTTATTATTGAGATAATCTCAGAGTAAAATAAATTGTCACACCACAACCATTACTACTACCCAGCTGTTGTGGGAAACATTTAGCCTAAAACCAAAATGAAATAAAGACTTTGTTGGCAAGATACAAAAATGCTCTAGAGAGAGGAATTCATACCAAGTAAGTTGTCCAATCTGCAACAATAATCATACTTCATAGCTCACCCAGATTAGCGGTTAAATACTTTTTGTCTTTACCAGCCAGACCGTCAGACCCTGATGTGGAGTGCCACCTGGCCCAAGGAAGTTCGCCAGCTGGCTGAGGACTTCCTGAAGGACTACGTCCAGATCAACATCGGCGCACTGCAGCTCAGTGCTAACCACAACATCCTGCAGATAGTTGATGTTTGCAATGACATGGAGAAGGAGGACAAGTGAGTAGATGACTTCTACTCCATTATTAGTATCAATCAGCTTGGCCATACAGGTTCCAGTTATGCCTGCCTCTCAAAACCTTGTTTGAATAGGAAAGTAGTTAAACAACCAATTATTTAATCAATTAATTTTAAATCAGTCCTTTACTGTACTTACGTCAGTGTCACTTTTATATTTCAATTCAACTCAATATGTAACAGTACTTTAATCAGCCAGTAGAAACATAATGTCTGTTCCAACTAACTTTAACTAAATTTTGTCTCAATCTTCTTTTGTCTCTTCTTTGTCAGACTGATCCGTTTACTG